TTCTTCCAAGTCTTTCAGGGAAAGCATTATAGAAGAAAGTGAGTCTCTGATCTCAGGTTTGGTCTGATCCCTTGTCACTAGGACAGTTTATTTCTAGATGGTTAGGTCCCTCATTTTAGAAAGGATCATTCTTAGCAGGTTGTGAAGTCTCATGTTCCACAGAGAAAAATAGGGGAAAGAAGAGAGAAAGAAAACCAGTAAAAAAGGAGGAAAGATAATGACAACAAAAGGGGAAAGTAATCCTGGAAAACTGATTTAGGCTATATTACTCTGAAGTCCATGCATGAGTAGGCAGGCACAAAAGTGGTTTATATATATAAATAATTTGCTGTTACTTTTCCCAAAGTTTAAGTTTCTAGTTTCACTTGGCAGAACTTTCAGAAAAGCACAGTTTTAATTTTAATTTAATTTTAAATTAAAATTTCTAGTTTTAATTTCTAGATTCCACATGAGAAAAAAATGGAAACAAATGAAAGAAAAAGGGAAAAAAATGAACAGTAATTTGGAGACTTGTAGCTAGGAAAGAACTTAGGATTCAGTCCAAATACATTTTAACAAAGAATAAAACTGAGAAACAATGATAAGATGGAGTCTAAGAATAGGTGTTTTATACGTTTTTTTTTTTTTAAAAACATAATTTTTATCTCCTTAGTCCTCCATTTTTATCAAAGACATATCATAGTAGGACTAATTTATTTGTAAAAAAGCTTTAGTTGTATTGTACTTGGCCTGATTCTTTGTATAAAGTGCAGCAAGAATAATTATTTCCTTTTTTAATTGACTTTGCTGGAAACTTTTTTATTTAAGGAATCTCAGTTTAGACTTTTTAAAGGCCCCAAGCCCAGTCAAGAATTTATTTGTGCCTGCAGATATCTGTATGAATTGGGTGAATGCCTCTCTTCATAGTCCCAAGATAATCTGGGGTTCCTGAGCCTGCCAGAAAGTAACATTCTTTACTTATCACAGGTTGGGAACCCTGTAAAAGAATTGTGTAGGCAAGGTACAAGGCCAGTTTTTTTAAGGATCTTTTATTGATTCTATAAGTCAATGGCAATTCCTTAAAACAGTTTGTTTTGTTTATATCTTAAAATATTTCATTCTAGTCAAAGCTTTAGTAAAATAATAGTCTCCAATTGTGTCCTGTTACAAAAGAAAGCAGATTCTTATTGAACTCATACAAATAACTATATTGTTATAAATTAAGAATACTCAAAGACAGTTTTCAAATTCTGGAGAAATCAAGTAGAGAGAAAGAAATATGCTTTAAATTTTGCTCACAAGAGCATATTTTACTCAATTGTTAAAAGCTGTAAACAACCCCAAAAATGAAAAGAATCAGCAATGTTTCAGACAAAAAGTTCGCACAAAAATTATTTTAGTCTTCTATTAAACCAGTTCATGCAATTAACCTCTGTTCTATTTGATACTGGGTCAACAATCCTCATGAATACATCAGATCTCCATGAGTGTCCTGGGAGATTTTTTTCCTCTATTTTAATGGCACAATCTCCAAAGCTGTCAGAAAACTGCATTGAAAAGTATCCATCTGATATGGTCTGGCTTTGTGTCCCCACCCAAATCTCATCTTGAATTGTAATCCCATAATCCCCACATGTGGTGGGAGGGACCCAGTGAAAGGTAATTGAATCATGGGGGGCAGTTCCCCCCATGTTGTTCTCATGCTAGTGAGTTCTCATGGGAACTCACTCATTCAGTGAGTTGCCCACTGTACTCCAGCATGGGCAGCAGATGGTTTTATAAGGGGCTACCCACATTGCTTGGCACTTATTCTCTCTCCTGGCACCCTGTGAAGAGGCAATTCTGCAGTGATTCTAAGTTTCCTGAGGCCTCCCCAGTCATGTGGAACTGTGAGTCAATTAAACTTTTCTTTATAATTTACCCAGTCTCAAGTATCTCTTCATAGCAGCATGGGAATGAACTAATACATCATCAGAGTCCTATAGCTGATTATAAACAACTTTTTGAAAAGGAACAAAGTAAAATAATAATTGTGAATGACAAAAGATATCCACGGTCAAAGATATAATTGACAAGGAAATCTGGTTATTTCTGTGGCACATAATAATTTAACATAATTATAATTATTACTGATGACATATACCAACTTGTATTAAAATTATAAGAATATTATACAATTTTGGAAAACATAACAATAGCACATTTATATAAATATATCTCAAAGAAAGTTACACACCATTTTATATTTGGAGATGCCTCCTGTATGATTTTAACATATCAAATAAGCCAAATATATCTCTCTTGGACCTTTAAAAGTCAGTTTGAGGTTAAAAGACTGCATTTAGAATTTAATCTTGAAAGTTAGTCAAACATTAAAAGTTTAAAGCACTTGATATCACAAAATGAGATTATAGGTCATTATAAAGTAGGTCATTTAGCTAAAGTGATAACTCACCAATTAAAAAAAAAAGCAGAAATCTTTACTCCTTGACAAAGAAGAGCTCAGTTTTCTGAAAAACAGGACCTAATAGAGACAGCATGAAGCCAACTGAATCTGTCTCTCTCCTTCTTTATTTTTTTTGGCAGTTTATTCAAAGGGCAAATGAAAATCTTTTCCTCTCTCTTAATATTATACAAAAATCTTATTTAAAAGAGAAAACCAAATTTTATTTTTGTATTACTGTATTATTAATTCTAAAGGTTTAATATTATAAGCAAATCAATCAAATTTTAATTAATTTGACTGTAAAGTAAGATTTCCATGAGGCTTTTATAAACTTTACAAATTTGTGTTAAAGAACAGATCAATATTCCAAGAAAATCCTGTTATCCTCACACAGTGCTCAGATTCTGACCCTGCATCAATGTGCTATTTATATTAATGTTCAATTTGTATAAAATCTAAATAATCCCCTTAAAATTTTAGCCAAACTTGACCACACACAAAATTCCTTTTACAAGATCAACCTTCCAGAAACCTTCTACAACTTGCTTAAACCTTCAGTTTTGTCCTTTCTGTTAACTTGAAACAATCCTTAAAAATCCTCTAAACTAGAAAAAAAACTTTATCTTAAAAAAGAACCACAATCCCGTGACTTATTTTAACATTTGTTCTCCAAAAAAAAAAAAAAAACGCCACATCCTACCTCTTTAATACACATTGTATGTACCTAGTAGTTTTAATTACATTCATTAATTCATAATGTTAACTCTTAGTAATTCTTATTTTAGTGAAAAACCTAGGCAGTAAGCAATTTTAATTATATACCAGGTACACAGGCCAGGACAAAGGACAATATCTGGGGGTAGGCCAAGGGCTCAAATCAAAAGACATGTAAGTTTATAGACAAGTTAAGCAAGTATTAGAAGGATTACAGGGGTAGTGCAGTGGCTCATGCCTGTAATCCCAGCAGTTTGGGAGGTCGAGGCAGATGGATTGCTTGAGACCAGGAGTTCAAGACTAGCCATGGGCAACATGGCAAAACCCCATCTCTAAAAAAAAATACAAAAATTAGTTGGGTGTGGTGGTGCACACCTGTAGTGCCACCTACTTGGGAGGCTAAGGGGGGGAAGATTACTTGAGCCCAGAAGGTCAAGGCTGCAGTGAGCAGTGATCACACCACTGTACTTCAGCACGGGCAACAGAGCAAGACCCTGTCTCAATAAAAAGGACTATGAAGCAGAGTTTTAAAGCACTTCCACTATGAAAAGAATAAAGAAGAATGATGTTGACTGAGCAGTTTTACACACCCTGCCACCACTGTGTCCCAGTGTGTGCGGGCATGTGTATACACATTGTGTGATCCCTTACTGTTGGGCACTCAGTCCTGAGCTGGTGTATCTGAATTAACTGTGGTTTCACAAATACCACTTACTTCTTTGTTATCCCAGACCACAGTTCTCTGAAAAGCTGACATGGCTTTTTGCTAAGGGGGATGATAGGGGCTGGGACTAGAAGTATAGTGCTGGAGACACAAGAGAGGCTGCCCATGAGCACCTATAATGGGTGCCCTGGACACATGATTCCTAATTTCCCTCCTGGAGAGGGATGACCCTTCCTCTATTGTTGCTGTTCCTTTCACAACTCAGTGTGGGGAAAAGGGGATGGGAATGGAGGATGGCTATGTCAGGAGACCAAGCAGGAGCTTGTTGCCTCCCGGCAGGAGGATGATTAACTGCTAGGGACAGAGCAGGAGGGTCCTGGAAAAGAAATGATTAGGCTATTCAAATATAGGCCTAATTTACCATACATACACCAGGATGCAAACACTTCAGACTGTGAGCCTCAAAGAGCAAAGATAAGACAATTCAACAACAACAAAAACCTAATTCGAAAATGGACAAATAAACTGAAAAGACATTTCTCCAAAGAAGATATATAAATGTCCAATAAATAGGTGCATAAAAACATGTTCAGTATCATTAGTCATTAGGGAAAGGCAAATCAAAACTACAATGTGAAACCACTTCACACCCATTAGAAGGGAATGTAAAATGGTGAAAGCTATTGTGAAAACCAGTATGGCAGTTCCTTATAAAATTAAACATAAGAATTGTCTAGCAATTCCATTTTTAGGTGTATGCCCATAGTATTTGAAAGTAGAAACTTGAACAGATTTTTGTATACCATATTCATAGCAGCATTATTCACAACAGCCAAAAGGTAGAAAAACTCAAATGTCCATTGGTAGATGAATAAAAAAATAAACTGTCGCAGATTTGGGACTAAGATTGCAGAATCCCACTTACATAAGATGCCTAGAATAGTTAATTCATAGAAAGAAAGCAGAATATTGGTTATCAGGGGCCGGGGCAGAGAGATAGCTGGAGAGTTATTGTTCAATGGGGATTAGAGTTGCAGTTCGGAATGATGAAAATGTTCCATAAATGAATAATGGTGATGGTTACGCAACAATGTGAATGTACTTAATGCCACTGAGTGGCACATCTAAAAATGGATAATATGGTAAATTTTATGTGACATGTATTGTGCCCCAATAAAAAATTAAAGAAGGCAAGAATAAGGAGACTATTTTATTGCAGTTGGGGTTTGGTTGCTAAGTGGGGAGAGAGACCTACAGGAGGTTGGGGAAAAAAGAAGGGCAACAACCTCTATGCCATGCCTGGCTCTTCCCACATAAGCCCTGGGAAGCCAGAAAAGCCTCACAGCTTACTACTTTCTAGGGTCTGCATGGGGCATTAGAGAAATGGTCCTGACATTAATCTAGCATCCCTACCTCATATCTTTAATTGCCAACCTCCTTTTTCCTGAGATGTGGGACTTCCAAGAACCCAGAAAATATGTGAGACAATAGATGACCATTGCCCATTGCCAAAATTCTGATGTGAAATGTGAGATATGGCCTTTTCGGGATTGTTCTGTCCCACCCTCCCATGAATAACAGGCACAGAAGTTAGACACTTGCATAGGCAGAGGTCTCCGTCTCTGTCCCCGTCCCCAGGCCAACCTGGAGTAAGGTCAAGAGTGACAGCGATGCTAATCAGAAATGGTAGACCTCCTCCCCATCCCCCTCACTAAGGTTCAGTCCAAGATCCAAGTGCCCCAGGGTGTTTTGACGAAGGATCTCCCAGCCTCGGTGACTGCTGCTCTGGGAGGTGGTCCGGGATAGGGAGGAATTTGGAAGAGCCAGGGAGGCTCTGGCTAGAGTCCCACTCTCAGCCCCAGAGGGCTGTTTCTCAGATGGATGCTCCTGGTCATCCTCCTTGTCTGAGTTCTTGAACGCTTCCACATAGCGAAGCACTCGCAGAGGATTCTGATCATTGTGGTTCTCAACCCTGATGAGGGGAAAGGGGAAAGGACTCAGTCCAGGTGGGGAGAGATGGGCAGGGGACAAGTAGAGGCGAACATTTAGAAAGCAGGGTCAAGAGGGAAGGAGAAAGAAGGGAGCAGAGTTGAAACAGGAAGAGTATCTCGGATCAGGTGAAGGGAGGTCATTGGAGGGCAGGCTAACCTGGGATAGAGATAATCGAGGCTGAGCAATCAGGGCTTGCAGGGTGGTAGGACGCACACAGGGGTGTGTGTGTGTGTGTGTGTGTGTGTGTGTTACTAATACATGGGAATGTGAAAGAAAACAGAGCCAACTAATAGATAAGTGTGTCACGAGGATGATGAGATGCAATTCAGGAAGTAAATTTGAGGAGAGAGGAGGATCACGCCAGGAGATGAGGGGAGAATATGAAGGAGGAAGTTACATCCAAGCCAAAAGTACACTGAAAATGAAGGTCAGCTCAGAACAAGGTGACAGCAAGTCTGGTAACCCATGCTGACGTCTGAGCATGGACACATGCACACAACCTTTTACACGTGGCTGCCCTGAGGTACACACAGCATTCTTCCTACCCCTCCACTTCAGCTCCAGCGCCCTCCCCTAATGCAGGCTCCAGGACACCTGTCGGTCACCCTTGCTTCCGTGGCCTTATACATATCTGCAGTTTTGCATGTGCACACAGTCACTCACCGCAGGAACCAGCGGTCCCCTAGCCCGTACTCGCACCCACAGATCCCGGAGCGAGGCCACAGGCAGCGAGGCAGCTTCCGTTCCAGCATCACTGTGGTGGCCACGACCTGGAAGGAGGCAAGAGGTACAGGAAAAACTCTGAAAGAGCCATGAGGTTCAAAGAGGCACGGAGGCCACTGACAAAGGGAACCAAAGGCAACCAGTGAGATAGGACACTAGAGGTCAGTGGTGAGAACAGCCACCTATTCACCCCACAGCCTGTGCCAGGCACCGTGAAACCAGTTTCACTCATCAAGAAATGAGAGAGGATTTTTTGTGAGTGTTTTGAATAAAATAGTGACCCTTACGTTCCTATTCAGACTCATGGAAAATGAGTCACTCCAAACTAATCTCAATTTGTTTCTCATATAAAAGCCATGGACCAATTATCTTGATTTAAATAAAATGATTAAATAGAATCTCTGTGATCTTGGGGATGAATTGATACTGTTACTGTTCAGGGAATTTTCAGCAAATTAAATATCCATATCTTAAGAAGGAAACGGGTTGATTAATGACTGCAAAGTTGGCAGGGAAATTTCTGGTAGCAAGTCCACCACACGTTCTGTCCTTTGCTCAGCCCTCATTAATTACTTAGATGAAACGTGGAAAACAAGCTTATCAAATATGCCTGTGACACAAAACTGGGAGGGATATGTAATAAGTGGGGCAACAGAAGCAATATAAAATGGTATCACTAGGTTGGAATGCTGGTGTAAAATCATTAACAAGAAATTTAAGTAAACCAAATCTAAGGTCCTACATTTACATTTAGGAAGCTTAGATAAGTGAGTCATAGAACAAAGGTGTGGGTGTGCCAGCTGATCACAGGCTTAATAAGGGCCATTTGTATATTTACTAAACAACCTGACTCTCCTTTACATGCCCTTAGCATTACGTCCAAGTAAGGAAAGTCAAGGTCCCGCTTTGTACCGCATTGCTCCAATCATATTGGGGACTATTCTAGTTTCAAAGGAACCATGATCTATTAGAGCATGAACAAAAGGGTCCAATCAGAATAGATCAGAACCAGGAAGGCTTCCTAATTGAAGGAGTGGCAATCTTCAAAATAGCAAATTATTCACCTCACGTTTTTCTACTCCCTGTCTTCCTCATTACTCCACACTTCTTTCAGTTTGTTAATTGCACCAAGTTCCCTCCTAGCCCAGGACTTCCAGTCATTCTGTGCTCTTACCCTGGATAGCTGTTCTTCTTTGCCTTGAAAGGAATGTTTATTGTTCTTCCTGAGCCATCATGCAGCCCCGTCCTTCCTCAGGTAACAGCACCCAGTTTTCATTTAGGGAATTGCTCCCTCATCACTTTCAGTGCATTGGTTTGAGTGGACTGGGCTTCACACAGTTCCGCTTAATTAATTTATTTTCCCCCAAACCTCCCCTCCACCACCATCACCAACACCTCCACTATCTAGTCCTTGGTCTTTCCTTAGATTCAATGATGTGCCTATGACCCAAATGTGTTCCCATGAGATGGAACATGGAAGGAATTGGCAGAGGGAAAGATGTTCTTTTAAAGCCTACAGTTTTGCCTGGCACCAGGAGCCTCACAGAACACAACATGAGTGGGGCCCTTAGAGCTGCATATTGCAATGCAGGTCCTCATTCTTTTTGGAGTTTGGAGCTTCTAGAAGTGATCTCACAAACACGATGGGAGAGCTTGCCTTAGAAGAGAGGTCAAAAGAGAGTCGAACAGAGGAATGGATGTAATGTATAAGATGTGGATCTGCATTCTGGCCAGATAATTCTAAAGTTAGTTTAATTCTCTAAACTTCTCATTTACGAGGACTAACACATCCTCCTCCCCCTGTTTAAAAATCTAAAAGTCTGTTTGAGTTTGATTTTCTGTCCCTGTAGCCAAGAGTCCTAATTGCTACTAACCTTGACCTGCATCCTTTTCCCTCCTTCCTTTTAACTAGCTAGTTCTTGCTCACCTTTGGGTTCTCATCTTAAATGTTGCTCCCTCAGGAAAGCACGTCTTCACCTCCCAGTTCAATTCCTCTGTTGCATCTTCTTCCTAGCACCTTACATTCTCTATGGCACTTTCGCTGCTGTAATTTTACAGCTTTTTGTGAAGTCATTCACTTCATGCCTGTCTTTCCAACTAAACCGTCAGCTCCGTGAGGGCATAGATGGTATCTGTTGTGTTAATGCTCATGTCCCTAGCTCCTAGATGTTTGCCAACACGTAGCAGGGTCTAAATGATCATCATTAAATGAATGAAAAGTCTAAGGGAAAAATGATGGCTATATTCAAGTATTTGAATGGTGCTTATATGGAAGAATGTGTTCTGTGTTATATGAGAGGGAAAGACTGGGGCCAAAGAATGAAATTTTAAGAAGATAGATTTTAGCTCAATGCAACATGAATGTCTAATAACAAAATCTTTAAAAATATGGGAAAACTCCCTTCCTCCCAAACTCTACCTGAATTTAAAAGATAATAAAGTCCTAATTAGTATTAAAGAAGATATTGAATGACCTTCTGATCAATAAATGATTATTATGTTAAGTAGGAGGTCAACTTGAGGGCCAATGAGGGTCACTTCCAATTCTAATATTTGTCGGTCTATGATGATATAAAGAAAAGTTCATAGAGAAACAGGGATTTATAGAAGCAAATAGAAGATAAGGTCCAAATTGAAAACTGGAATATACCAGAACAAGGTCACTTCTAGTTCCTACTGGACTCCAGGATCACTCCTAGGTCTACTTTTCACCTGTAAGCAACAACCCCACTTCTTGCCACTATCCTCCATTTAATCCTCCTTCTGCCCCTTCCATTTATCCACATGTACCTCAGTTTTATGCAAACCTCTGTTAAGGTGACAGCCTCATTGAGTTTTTCTGTGACTTTTTTAAGAATGATTCACCATAACATTTTCCACTTTGATTTTTCTCTCCATCCCCTGCCTCTTAGCAAGACTAACACAAATAAACTTACCTGGGCCCTCCAGAGCTCATCCCGCTCCTGGGCCACCCGCCAGTGGGTGTCACCCATCATGGCGATGAACAGGTTGAGCATGAGCAGTGTGGCAATGATGGCGAAGGCGAAGTAGACAACGCTGAACATGAAGGGCAAGTCCACATCGTAGTTGGCAGGAGCATCAATAACAGTGAGAAAAAGCTCGAAGGTGCTGAACAGTGCCATGGGGTAGTCATAGAACTGCCCCAAACTGGTTGGGTCCTCTGTCTGGAAAATGATATAGAACGCTGCTCCGCCCAGGAAGAGACATGGAGATTGGATAATGGAGTTATCACAATAAGCATGGACATGGTTAGCACTTACTCTATCTCTGATATATATGTATATCTAAATACACTTGCACACTTGCACAGATAATTACATACTAATAAACGTAGTTTCCTGTGGAACTGTCTAACCCTAAGATGTCCTATGATTAAGTTCACCACTCTGGGTAATGGTCATGGTAATAGTCATTTAACAACAACAAAATTGTATGTGTGTGCAGTGTGTGTGTTTGTATGGATAATGGATAATAGGTCACCTAACTGGTTTTTACATTTTAGAAAACCAAATACTTAAAAGGCAAGTTATTATAAGAATGCATGGAATCTTCAACAATTTTTAAACAACAGAACACATGAACAGGCTAAAAGAAGAGCCCCTTTTTATCTTGATGGCCTCTAGATAACCCTCCATCACTCTGACATTCCCTGAGTGAACCTGAACCAACATAGGAAACGGATTTCTGCTCAGGGTGGAGCCTACTGGATAGCAGTGAGCGTAATGGAACTTCAGGACAGCACTAGACTGCTTGAAAGCCTCCTCTCTGCATAAGGAGCTGAAGCACAAGGTGATTCTGAGAGCAGAAACAAGGTCTATGATAAAGCATTGCCTCCTTATTTATTTAAGAGAAAAGCAAGTGCAATGACCAAGAAGTGATCATTTAGAGAGCTCTGGATAGAGGACATCTACAGAAACCACTCTGCGACCATCACCTCATTTTGTAATCTGTGTTATGTACAGATGTAGATGGCCAAGGAGTGGGAGGAAAGGGTACATAAGGGCGTGGGGTGGAAAACTCCAAACAGGCAGAAAGCCATCATTTTACTCTTTCACATTTCAGATTTTGGTGGGGGTTTTGTTGTTGTTGTTGTTGTTGTTGTTTTGTTGTTGTTGTTGTTGGTCTGTTGTTTTGTGGGAATCCCCATTGAACGGGAAATTCCTAAGGATAGCAATGGAGTCCTCTGCACTGAGTCATTGCTTTTTAGAGATGGGAGGGACTCTTAAAGCTCATCTAGTGACTCTTCTTGTCTAATAGATGATCAGTTGCAGACACTGAGGACTGAATTTGAGCTACTGGCCTTTTGCTTTCAGACCTGGGCCTTCCTCTTTCTGCCCCTCCCTAAGGACTCTCTTCTGTTCCTCCACCCACCCTCTCCTTCCCTCTGGCTCTCCACCTGCCTGTGTTTTCCTGCTGTGCTGTTCCTTTCTTTTGCTCCCTGGCACTTTCACTGGCTGTTCCTTGACTGGGTGCCTGTGTGTCCCTGTTCTCACAGTCTCTCTTCACAACTCTTCTTTTTTGTTTTCTCTGTCATTCTTCAAACTGTCCAACTGTTTTTCTGCATCTCCTGTTTCTAATTCTTTCATATTTTTTCTCAAGTTTAAATGACTACATATAGAAAAAAAGCAAGTTATATGTTGTTGAGTGCTTTATGTTTCCTCTTCTGAATTGTAAACATGGGAGAGTTAAGCATGGCACTATCTCTGTTTGTTCACATGGTTTTCTGAGATCCATGACTGGCCAGTCTTTCCTGTTTAATGCCCTATTCTCACCAAAAGTCTTTTTCTGTCTCTCCTTTAAAGATCTTGCAAGGCAGTTAGTGAACATGAATGTTATTGGCCCTGAACACATGACTTTACCTTCCTAGGCCAACCTGAGTGGCCCCTGGTCTATAAATATGGGTGTGCTTTTAGACTCACCTTCCAACAGGAAAAAAAAAAAAAAAAAAAGCAAAATGAAGTGCAAATGAGAACTGAGAGCAAGAATGAGAGTGAACTTTCTGGAGAACTGGATCTGCTGCTCTAGTAGAAGAGGGAATGGTGCCTTACCAGAGGCAAATCCCAAGATAACCACAGCCAACAGCCAGCAGAAACGCATTAGGTCTCCAAAAATCATCTGCAGGAAACAGAGAAGGGAGAAAGGGTGGGATGATTCCTTTTCCACTGCCTCTGAGGAGCTAACGCTAACAGATCAGGAGGCTCCCATAGTTCCACCAGCCCCACTCTACCTCCATCCCTCTGTCTGGGAAGGTCTTGTGCCTGAGGCAGAGGAAGCTTTGGGAAAGCACTGACCTTCTGGATCATGATGGTGAAGGGACCCAACATCTGGAATCCTCGAGCAAAATACATGACACTGCACCAGCCCAGCACCAGGGCAAAGGACATGGGCACCACCTCCCCATTGGTGTTGGTGAGCCGCATCGCCATGGTCACCAGCACCAGGGAGGCATAGGTGATGCTGGGGGGAGCAGACAGCAGGGAGTGAGAGACAAGCTGGAGCTATTCTAGGTCCCTACAGCACAGTGGTGACTGGGGTGGTACCCACACACTCAGGCTTCGTCTTTACACCTAAAACACACATACAGTTACACCTACAAGTCCACTGGAGAGAAGTCCTTGGAGTGAGAGTGACCCGAGGCCTAGATATCAGAGAGTGAACTGGAGACAGGAAAAGATTCTGGCAAGGAAAGGCAGGGGGCTGGAATGAGGGGATACTCACATGATGACATGGAATGGCCCCCCAAGAATTGTCTGTCCAAAATAGCGAGAGGCACCGACCCTGAAGATGTCTGGGATCTGGGGAAAGGACAGCAAAACAAAAAGACAATGTGGACTGCGGTTCAGTCTGGGCCTTAGATGGGATGGGCTTAGCTTGGACCCCACCTGCACCTCACCTCTAGGAGCAGGATGATCACAGCCCCAGTGACGCTCACCAGCTCCCCCACCAGCCTGATGATATCTTCATGTGTCTCATAGGCCTCCTATGTGAGGAAATTCAGAAGAAGTGCTTTCTGATGGGCAAAGAGTCAAATCCTTTTGTGCAAATGATTGAAAGCTGCTAAAGTCCATCCACAATAAAGGAAAGCTCCCCTTCCCACCAGCATCACCCCACCCCCATTGTACTTGCCATTGTGGGTAACTCTGTGACCAGGACAGGAGTCTATGTATCCAAGGTTTAATAGATGTCACATATGCTAATGTCTTGAGCTACCATCTAGCAAAACCGCCTTTTCTATAGATGCTATAGATGTAAGCAGAAATTTATGATGTATATACTGAGCAGCTGAGAACATATTTCAGAGCATCAAGTGAGCCAACAGGAAGAGGTATTAGTGGCTTGGGATGGTTTCAGCTATGTGGAAAGTCCACCTTTTCCAAACTCATCATGGCTCCCAGTGGGAAGAATACACTGTAAACATATCACAGAATTCAGGTTCCCTCACGGGCCCAAAATCTACTACCTCTAGTGAGACCTTGAACCATTCATGGAAAAATCTCTGAACTTGAGGTTTCTCATCTGTAAAATGGAGGCTACAGTGCTTACTTCCCAGAGTCATTGTGAAGCTTACATTAATGATATATTTGCATGAACTTTATAAATCATAAAGCACTATAGATATATTCACTGTGGTTTTATTATGATTTGACATTACAGAAAAGAGCAGAAAAGGGGCTAGAGACACTATGAGGAAGGGTCCCTGCCTATCCTGAGCAGTAGTTGTAGAAGGTACAGTCCAAGGGTCAAGGTGGAATGAAGACCACTCTACTTCAATGCCTGCTACTTCATGGTGAAACTTATGCATTATCACAGATGTAGTGCTAGGATCCTACATTAATTATCCTTATCTTTTTGAAGTTATGAGCTCACTTGAAAACATAATAAAAACTGTATACCTTCTTTCTAGAAAACTGTGTTCACATATAGAGAATTCCCACATGATATTGCACAAATAATTTCAACACATGCAAGCAGCCTTTTGACTTTTGGGAGCTCTGTTGTCCAAGGTCACATCTCCTAATAGTGCACCCAAGAAAGGAGCTGAGAATCCCCTGGGGCCAGCAGGAAAGCTGATGATTTAAGCTGGGGAGAATGTGATCCCTTGTTAGCATAAGGAACAGCAATTATCCCTGCTCTGCTAATCAGCTGGAACCTGTAAGCATCTCTCCAGACGTTACTGCAGCAGCACACTCACCTGTCCAGTGAGAGGCAGCGCTTTTGACATAGGGAACCAAGAGACACTAGGACAGAAGCTTCTGTCTGTGTGTGTGGAGATCTCTGTGGTCTAACAACCTGTGACCAGACATCAGTCAACACTTTTTTTTTTTTTTTTGGCTTAAAAAATTGTATGCTCTGTAAGCTTTTCTGACATGTCTCTCTCTTGAGAAACTAGTAAATTTTATTTTATCATATAATAGAAAAATTCTTTTTTTACTTGCTTCCAAAGAATTTCAGAGTTTTTGTTTTATTTTGTTTGTTTTGTTTTTGTCCTCCCGCTCTAGCAACTATCTTTGAATTCCTTCTCTTCTCTCCTGAAATTCAGTTCATGGACTGTGTTCTTTTTCTTTATTTTAATGTTTCTATAGCATCTGTCTTTTAGTGTAAAACATGCCTACTCCTTCACAGAGTCAGGTAGTGAGTAGGAGGATAAATAACCAATACATTACTTTAGAAACAAAATAACATTAAATATAGAAATAACTACATCTATGCCATATATGTGTCTGTAAAAAATTATTGTTATTTTAAAAATGTTGTGTCTTGCTTCAATATGTCTGAAAAAATGCTACCAATCTTTTCTTGCCTCAAGAAGAAAAGAACTACACGTAAGTTGGCGAGGAGAACTAGGAAGATCAGGGCGCCCCTAGAAGCCAGCCAGGAGTCACAGCAGCCATTCCTTCAGGAGATGAAAATGAAACCTTCTAATGCTGGGGAGAATTTTGGCCACCAAATTCTCCTGCTGGGGCTTCCTCTCACCAGTTCAACAGATTTCTTTACAAGTACACGTTCCCCTGCACAAATTCACTAGGGCGTAATGGAGGTGTTCAGAAACCCCAATTTTTTGCCTCTGCATTACCTGGGATCTGACTGACCTAGAGAAGCTGCCTCCAGCACTCTGTCCCTGGGGTCCTTATCCTTAAACCAGGCTGCAAAGTGCCACAGACTCCTGAGAGCCCCCTTCCTTGCTGTTCTCCAAGACCAGAATACAAACCCTTCTGTAGGGTTTTGTTTGCTTTGTTTTGTAAACTACTGTCTCTGGAAAACAAAAATAATATATGTGTGTAAAAGTTGCAATAGAAATAATGATGATAGTGGGCTTTTAAAGCACTTTGATTTTCTTTAGATTTTCTGGGCAACTCCAGTGTTTCACACTGATATATAACGTTAGCTCTTGCTTTAAAATAGATACTCTTTGCAAAGGTAAGGAAGATTTCAGTATTTCAGAGATGGAAAGGGGCATGAAATTGAAGTGAAAATAGGCTTACCTTTTAATTAACCACCTTGCACCCCTAGAATTAAATCCTAAGCCCAAACTGGTAATGGATGTTTCTTTTAATTTTTAAAATTCTATTCTTTGGAAATTGCATTCAAGACTTTTTTTTTTTCTAGATTGAGATGCTGATTCACAACTCTCTAGATTTAGGGTCCTTATGAAAACACTGTTTCCTGGTTATGTTTGGCAAAGTAAATTATCAGAGCACCCATTCTCCAGTCCTACTCGTTCAGTTCCCAGTTCTCTCTGACATGTTCTCCTTTTCCTTGGTTAACAGAACTACTGCCTTAGGGCAAACCTATGCCGTCTACCATCTAGTTTACCCTACATCTATTTCCGCTTTTTCAACCCACCCCCCACAATGCTTCTGAATTGATCTTTCTGAAACAGAGATATCATCCTGAGACTTCTCTGTTTAACATCATTGCTAGCTCCCCAATGCCTTCAGAATAGAAATGCAGGAGAGGTGGCAGTGGAGGGTGCTCTTTAATCTTTATCATCATAGAAATTCACTAGATAAGGTCTAGATTTGATTAGCAATTAGAGATAGAAGCATTTGATTCCAGGGATGCAGAGGTGATGCAGGAAGGAACAGCTAAAAGAAAGAAAAACTGGTTGTCCTCCGTGAGTAAGACATGGGTGAGAAGGAGGGGTTGTCCAGGACGCAGTTGCTCTCTATCAGATCTGCCACTTGATTTGTAAGTCATGAGCATGATGTACATCATTTTCTTTTAATTAGGAAAGCTCAATGTGAGATAAGAATGTAAAAAATAAAACCAGAGTACCAAACGGGATGTACAAAATCCTCGCTACTATGGCCCCTGCCCTGTGTCCTCATACCCTGTGTGAGCTCCGGCCACATTGAGCTATTGGGGTTCTGGGTTGCTAAGTCGGGACTCTGCGCAGGCTGTGCCACTTTGTCAGAATGCCTTCCTCCACCATGTTGACCTGGCTCATCCTCACCGATGCCTCAAGACTCAGGTCAGGCCAACACTCCTCCTGGGCCTCCTTTCCTGCCCCTCCATGCCCAGGTCATGTGTCTCTCCTGGGACATGTGGAGCTGCTGCGTATTGACAGCCCTCTCTCATCACTCTGAAAGTGTCTGGGTACCCCATGTCTCACCAGTAGTCTTAGAGCTTCCTGAGGGCAGGGATGCCGCCCTCCTACTTTTTATCCACAAATGCACACAATGTGGTAGGCACTCAATTGGTAAGAAAGGAAAGAAGGAAGGAGAAAAAGGAGAGAGGAGACAGCAGGTGCAAGCTGAGCACTGCCTAAGAGATGCAGAAGGGTGGTAAGGAGGACAGGAAGCGGGGATGGAGAGACCTATCTGGAGGCCTAAGAGGAAAAGAATGATAACTAATTGCGCTTTTCTGAAATTTTCAGATTCCTACATCAAGGTCACCTAAGCAGGCCTGGCTAACAATGCACAGAGAAAATACTCCAATCCACCCCTGTAAAAATAAATATCATCTAACAATGACTGGAATTTTTTACTCCACAACATGGCTTGCAATTTAAGGAGCTATCAACAACCAAATCCCCTATGCAGGCTGACATTTATACATCACTGAGAATTGTCCTAATGAGATTTGCTCTCACTTCCCAGCCAGCTGAGTTCATTGCCTTGAAGGGAATGCCCAGAAGGAGTGGGCACAGCAATGCCTGGGGCACTACTGGGTCGTAAGGGCCAGGGATGTACCATGAGGAAAGGATGGGGAACATAGACCACCCCAGTGGGAAGTGGGAAGGCCCCAGAACAAGTTGTCAAGCCCAGCTCTAGACCTTTTTCCTTCCCATGATCCCAGACTTGCGAAGGAATGAAGTTCTCAGAGAAAGCTCTGCTAGCTCTTATGAAGAGCTTCTCCAATTCCCTAACTGGACATGAGTTCCTAACCAGCCCATCAGAATCAAGTGGTAAATCTTTGTCACAACACACATGTCCAGGCCGACCCTGGGTTAATTTGGAGCAAGAACCTGGCATTTTCTTGAAAAGTTCTGTAGGTGTTTTGGACGTGTACCCCAAGTTGAGAACCACTGGGCCATAAAGAGAGAGAGCGATCTGGTTCCCATGTAAGTCAAACTGCCTTCCAAGGGTTAATTTCATGTCCCAGTCTCTGCATTTTCTCAGGGGGATTGGCTTGGGAGATTACCCCTTTCTTCTGAAGAGTCTTCACCCATTCCCACAGAGTTATGACTTGCCTTATATGCCAGTAGGTTAACCCCATCAAAAAATAGTGCCAATTATCAAAACTGGAGAAGAGCCAGTATCTCAGTATGTGGGGGTGGGAATCCTTCTATATCTGATCCCCTCCCACAGCACTTCTCAAGTGCCTCTAATCTTGACAGGGAAAGATGAGATGTGTAAATACAAGTGAGTGTGGCAAGCCCTGGCTAGCCAAGAGAGAAGACTGGGACCTAGCACATCACTCTGGAGGGAGAAATGGCCTTGTCTGGTGTGTAAATGTGAGGATTCTGAAAGGAAGCAGACCTGCAGCCCAATCCCAGTGCTGCCCTTGCTAGCTCAGTGTCTTTGCCAAAGTATTTAAACTCTCTTGACCTCAGATTCACCATCTTTAAAGTGGTGATGATTGTATTTACTTGTTAGGATTTCTACGAAGATTAAATGATAGAATAATGCTTTGTAGGCCGGGCGCGGTGGCTCAAGCCTGTAATCCCAGCACTTTGGGAGGCCGAGACGGGCGGATCACGAGGTCAGGAGATCGAGACCATCCTGGCTAACACGGTGAAACCCCGTCTCTACTAAAAATACAAAAAAAAACTAGCCGGGCGAGGTGGCGGGCGCCTGTAGTCCCAGCTACTCAGGAGGCTGAGGCAGGAGAATGGCGTAAACCTGGGAGGTGGAGCTTGCAGTGAGCTGAGATCTGGCCACTGCACTCCAACCTGGGCGACAGAGCGAGACTCCGTCTCAAAAAAAAAAAAAAAAAAAAAAAAAAAAAAAATTATGCTTTGTCACTCAAAATATGGTCCACAGAATCACAACACTGGCCTCCCCTGGCAGTTTACTGGAAATGCCAAGTCTCAGGTCCCACTCAGCCTTACTGTCAGAATCCACATTTTAATAAGGCCACTTTAATATGTGCTGGGATTGCAGGTGTGAGCCACCATTATTTTTTGCTTGCTAAACTGTAATAGCCTCCTGACTGGTCTCCCTTTGTCCCTCCTACCACCCCCTACATCTGTTATTCACCATGCAAGTAAGTTCCCCTGTTTAAAATCCTTCTGACTTCCCATTACCCTGGGGATAAAGTGTAAAATCCTCAGCATGGCCTTTAAGACTCTACATAAATTGGGAAGGATCTGTCTGGACAACCTCACCTGGAGGTACCCACCCCAGCTCCCTGTGCTCTGGTGAATCTTCTTTCAGTTCCTAGACTTTGGTGAGGTTATTCCTGCCTTGAGGCCTTTGAATATGCATTCTTTCTGTCTAGAACTCTCTTTTCACGTTGAATTCATACCTAGATCTCAGCTCAGTCATCTTTCTCAGAAGCAGTCTCTGGCCTCCCAGAGGGACCAGGTCCCTGCTATAAGTTGTTTTTTCCCACTCTGTGCTTTTCTCATTATAAGAAAAAAATAACATTGATGCCAACAGTCACAGATTATAATGAAGTATCTATTTGTATGATCATTTGATTAACATAAACCAGTCTGTAGACTCCAAGAAAGCAGAGATTATGTGTGTTTTGCTCAGACTATGGTTGTTGAATTTCCATCACCTGAAACAGTTGTTTGGCCTGCATGAAGCTCTCAATAATAGTTTATTTAATTAATGGATTAGCAAAATATTTCTGGGAAAGAGAAAAACAAAGGAGTGCGGAAGAGAATCTTTTTCAAAAGTCAAAAAAGAGATGTGACAAGAAATTTGAACCACCTACTGAACAGTACTCCAGGAATCTAAATGACCAGAGTGGTGGGCCTAGGACTGGAAAGGCAGAGCTGCACTGACCTCAAAGATGGAAGCCAGGGGTTCTCAACCCTGGTAGAACATTTGGCTCACTCAAAGAGTTTCTTAAAAATACTGAGGCCAGAGCCTCAGCTTCAGACATTCTAACTTATTAGGTCTAGGGTGTAGCCTAGTTATTGTACTAGCTTTCTAGGTTTCTAGCGTGCAGCCTGGGTTAAAAATCACAGATCTAGCACGAAGTAAGATTTTCCTAAGGTCAAACAACTATTAAATTTCAGAGTTAGGGCTAAAACCTGAGCTGCTGGACTCTTGGACTTTGAACATTTTACTCACCTGGAAATCTAAGAGAACTAGTACTATAGTTCATGCTGCTCTGTCTAAACCAAGTAGAAATATATGGAGATAGAAGTTAACTCAAACTAATAGAGTTCTGGGAAATCTCTAGTAAAGCAGGACTTTAACGGCTGAGCAACGAGGCACCTTAGAGTCATTAAGATGTCCCCCAAATTGGACAGAAATAAACTAACTCCAGCTTTACAAACATCAGCTTTTGTGTAGTTTTTGTTACCTTATACAGAGGAATTTGTTTTCTCTCATCTGTTCTGACATGGTGATGTTGCACTACTCTCATAAAATCCCAGATATTAAACTAGAAAGGATCTTAGGGGTCCTGGAGCCCAGTGATTTCCACAGATCCCAAGAGATCTGCAGAGGAAGTCCTGAAGTGACTGAGATCCCTGTGACCCCAGAGTTATTAATATAATTGGACAGTAAAGCATTCATTCATCTAAGAAAAAGCTCCACCAGCTAACGAATATGTCAACAAATGCATGCGTCAAATCAAGACACTGTATTTGTGCGTTTTCATTTTTTCTAAGACTTTCAAGTAAGAAAACAGCAGGAAAAAAAGGAATTTCCTATTATTTAACAAATCTGGTGCACTGTGAAAACAGAATCTTTCAAATCATGATGATAAGTTTAGAAGCTTCGGATCTAATCCAAATGGGCTTACTACTGAATAAGAAGAACATAGTCATCCCATAAATCAGGTCCAGGGCTCAAAGCATAGGGACTTTTCACTAGCGTTCTTTGTTATCTAACCCGTTCCAGCAGCATTCTCAATCCTCTTACCCACCCACTTCTCCACCAAGAAAAGAATATCTGAAAGTCCAAAGTCTTCTCTTTGAGCTGAAGTGGCTTTCACTGAAGCAGAAAGCAAAAGGGTAACAATGCCAAGGTACACGAAGAAAGGCAGAAGAGAGAAAGAAAGAAGGATGGGTCAGATGTTCAGCTATAATTATGCTTCTGAGTCCTGAAGCAAAGGAGGCGATCTTTTAAATATAGAATATCTGGATCAAAGAAATGTGTTTGTACATAACAAGCCCCGTCCCAAAGAGATAGAGACACACAGGAAGGAGATTTTTGGTCATCAGTGGCTCAGCATTGCCCACCTTTTAACCCAGAGTCCTGTCTACATTCAAAATGCAGAAAATCTCCAAGTAAGTTTGAGACAAAGGAAGGTTGGAGAAGACACATCTGAGGATATAGAGCCAGGAGCGCTGGAAAAGTCCAGCAATCCCCACCTTATTTGTGTTTTCTCAATTTCTAATTATTCCTCCCTCCACTTGCCATCTCCTAACTGTCCTTATTTCCCTCATGTCTCCATGCCAGGGACAACTTTTGTGCCTAGACTGAGATGTATGGAGCACAACTGCTTCCAGCATCTCTAACACATTCAGGCTTGTCTTCCCCAGGCAGCAAGCCCTACTTGGTGAGAGGCAGTGGATCTGGACACACAACACACTGCATATATATAGAGAGAGAGCCTATATATATATATAGCCTGCATATATATATATATATATAGGCAATTCTAGACACAGGAGAGATGGAGTGTCTCTGCCTGTCATGGGGCTCACTGGGGCTCTTTGCCCTGTTCTCTGTGCATACCGCTGTCTTTGGTCTAAACCAACTCAGGGTTTTTGCTTCTTGGCTATAGAAAGTTTATATTCTCTTTCCGACCCAAACTACCCTGCTTCCTAGTCCAGGCTGAGCTATACCTATGACTGCTCTCTCCTGCATTGAGATAAATCTCCAATTACTTAGCTCTCACTTGCTTTGCAAAATCTTTTTCCTGGTCTTTTGCTTTCTGCTACATACCTACATCACCTTCTGTGTATTTTCAGCTCACCAGGACAAAAATTTTAGTAATCCACAAAGAGTCAACCCCCCAAAGGTAGCTATATTTGTTCAATATGTATATTCAGAAGTGCTCATTAGAGTTTACCCTTTGTGTTGCACTAAAAAGAGGGTTTACTTTCTTCAACAGCAGATTTCTGTATTTACTCTGTACATCTAATAAGTCCTCTTCCTCACCCTAGTTTTCCCTTGGCCACCATAACACAGAATGGCAGGCCCACACAATAAATGGAGCCTCAGAGAGTCTTTACTTCAGCCTGATACCCAATCCAGACATCTTTCTGCAGAGTGTCTGAAAGGCAGTCAGACAGCTGACACATTATTCCCATGGGCCCACACAGACAGCACACAGAAGAGGATGCAGGCCAGCAGGGCTGTTTGTGTTGCCCCAACACAACAAAAATGGACTCAGAAATGGACTTGGAGCACAATTTTCCTCCTTGGAACAATAGAGTTTACCTTGAACATCCCACTACAAAACCCTGATCCTTTTTGTAAATTACCAAAAAAATTCACAAAAGCACAGGCTTACTCATGCCAAGCACGCTTTCAAAGTTTGTGTGAGAAAATCCACAGCTCCCTGGACAAATGCACTTGTGCTCATTAAACCCCATCTCTGGCCTCTTGGTCTCATGTCTAATTTCTACCTGGGTGTTTAGGAGCCTAAACCTGCTGGAACCCAGAAGGTGGCATTGTCCCTGAGCAACACGGCTTCGTTTCCAGCACCATCACCCCATGATGCAATTCCCTTTCATTCCCTTCCAAGGAGAATCACCTGTAGTAGTTTTTGCTGGAGGATGGTGATGTCTCGAGAATGAGTGCGGTTGCCACCACGAAACTTAAGGGGGCGGTAGACGCAGCACGTGGTGAAGCAGATCATGTAGAGCAGGTACAAGGCAGCCAGGATGCAGAAGTACGGCCGGCCATACTTGTTCCACTTGAAGCTCACCAGCTCCTTCACTGGGGTCTGTTCCAGAATTTGGCGAGCCTGGCATGGAAGTAGAGTGAAACTTGGGATGACCAACACAGAAGGATGTTGTTTATCCCACTGGGTACCAGAAGAGGCAGGGCAGCAACCATCATTCATTCAGCTCATCAGTCACTTCTTTGACCAACAACTAGTATATTTCTCGCATATGGCTGGGCCTTGTGCTAGTGATACAGGTAAATGATTATAGCAGTAACCACAAGGCACCATAGCACCAAAGCGGATTTAAAGGATGAGTAGTAGTTAGTTGAGTAAAGGGAGAGTTAGGAAAGATCATACCATAAGGTAGCAGCAGTTGCCAGGTCAGGAAAGTCTGAGAAACCATTGCCCATTTGCAGTTGAGATGTGGTTGGGGAGAGGGGAGAATCTATTGGGAGTGGTAGTCAGAAAGGAAGAAAAGGGCCAGATCATCATGCATTGTAAATGCCAAAGTAGGAAGTTTGTATTTTTGTTTTTTTCTAAATATAACAGAAAGCAACAGAGGAGTTCAAGCAGGGAAGTGGTCAGATTTGCTCTAGAAGTATTGTTGGGCTAGAAAGAAGCAATGGAGGTTACAGGCAGTAGGATGTGGCAGGGTGGGATGGTGCTCTGATATAAGCAGCCAGTGAGATGTTAAAGATACACAGGAGAGGGGATGATGGATGGGAGGAGGCATCTGAGAAATTAGAAAGAGGCAGATTCAAAGCGCAGTAGAGTGATTAGCCATTAACAGCATGAATACCTTTTCTATTGAAGCTGGAGGGGAGAAGAGAGACAGTGGGCAGTTCCCAGACATGCCTGGCAGTGTAGGGCAGGAAGCTGAAGGATCCCCAGTCAGAAAGCCTCTATTTTTGTCCTAAGGCAGGAGTCTAGGTCCCAAGGCAGTAGTCTAGGTCTTCTGAACTACAGCTGAAGGTAGTGAAGGATGTGAAAGGGGGCTAGAAAGGAAGATTTACGGAGGAAAAAAGCAAGTGACCCAAGACATGTATGAAAACTGCTGGAGAATATTGAGAATAGCTTAAATCAAAGACCAAGGATGTGTGGTGGCGATATCCACACAGTGGGATTGTTCTTTCAATACCTAAGAAATCCTGCTCAAGGTGTGTCTGTTTCCAGGGATATTCTCTGAGGAAGATCTCACAAACTGGCCACTCAACTTTTCTTCTATTCATTAGTATTAATAATCATTCATGTTTTCTGGCTCTGTAAAGGTTCCTGGGAAATTCTCACATGGCAGATAAAAAGCAAAAACCATATCTTGGCACTCTCATGGAGTGTCCTGGAACCTGGAAGTATTTTCTCCTCTCTACTGTAGTCTTCAACAAATTTTCCTTTCCCTCACATCACTCAACCCAGCATTGTTGAATGGTCTACATGTTGCTCCCTCTTTAAAAAGTTCCTTTTTTCCTCATCTTCTTGGTGACTCCCAATTCTTCCTTGAAGATCCAGCCCCAGCATTTCCTCTGTGACATCTTCTCTGGTCTATCCAAGCCAAATTAACTCTACCTCAATGTGGCTGTCTGCATGCATGGTACACACAACTATTATGGCATATGTCATACTCTGTTGCAATTATTCAGGGCAGGGACTGAGAATTGAGGAAGCTGATGAACAGGAACTGTGTTGTATTTATTTCTGTATTGTTTGTTTCTTGTGTAGTGCTTGACACACAGCAGGTGTTCAATATGCTTGCATGAGTCCATTCTCACATTACTATAAAGAACTACCTGGCACTGGGTAATTTATAAATAAAAAAGGTTTAATTGGCTCATGGTTCTGCAGGCTGTACAGGTTCTGGAGAGGCCTGAGGAAATGTACAATCAGGAAAAAAGGCCAAGGATAAAGCAGGCACATCCTACATGGCCGAGGCAGGAGGAAGAGAGAGCAGGTGGAGTGCCATGGGCTTTTAAACAACCAGATCTTGTGAAAACTCACTATCACGAGAGCATCAAGAGGGAAGTCTGCCCCCAAGATCCAATCACCTCCCACCAGGCCCCTTCTCCAACACTGCGGATCACAATTCGACATGAAATTTTTGCATTTGGACACAAATGCAAACCATATCAATGCTGAACCAATGAATGAATATGAGGAAACAACTCTTATTTGGAGTTTCTCATCTGAAATGTTAGAACGAGAAAGGTAGGTAGAAGGGACTAGAGCTAAGCAGAGAGACAGGGGATTCAGGAGAGGAGTGTGCATTGGACTTTTCCCCAGGTCCCAGGAGACTATTCTCATCTCCACCTATTATAAGGCTGGGAAGTGCCTTGGGCCCAGGATCTTAGTAAGTGGACAGAATCTGCACAAACACTAAATTCCCTCACATGACAGCCCTGATCCTCCTTGGCATCCATACCTCTCGTTTATCAGAGGAGACCACAAGCTCTAGGAAGGACAGTTCCTCTCCCCAGGAGTCGATCTCTGTGAGGTCGTAGAGAATGGAGGTCAGGGGTCCATATGTCCACTGGATGTGCCTCCGCTTCTGCATCAGGTGCTGGAACATCTGTGAGACCACCAGGATGAGTGAGGGGGCCAACGTGTGAGAAGGTGGTCAAGGGGAACAACTCCATTGCATGGAGCCAGTTGCCCACCCCTTGAGACAGACAGTGGGAATCAACAAACCTCTGCATCTACAAGCTTCCCCTTTTTTGTCATCTTTCCTGCTCCAAAACCCCAGAAAGCTCAGAAAGAAGAAAATAGGCAAAGGAAGCTAGAGCTTTGGGTTACCATAGCACATGCGTTAACGTGAGGTTCTCAAATCCTCTTGAGCCAAGGAACATGAGGCTGAAGATTTCAGTGATGGAATAGGAAGCAAGGGACCACCATCCCTTTGAGTAGTTTGGGGAAAAGAGATTTTAGAGAAAGGTGGATCCTTCACCTCTATTTTTCCCAGGGCCGGAGGTAGGTTGAGGGTCATTAGAAAGACACCTCAGGGATGGGGAGTGTCTCTCACCACAGTGTTACCCTCCACTGCAGCCAGCTTGAAGGGGGTGAGACCCTGGTGATTGGGCACGAGGTCCAGGGGCTGCATGTGGTCCCCATGTCCATCGTAGGACAGCAGCAGGTTGTACATCTGGCAGGCAAAGGTTTTGTTGGGCTGGAGGATGAGGATGTGTAACACTGTGTTTCCTGGGGAGGACACAGGGTATCATGTGGCCACTGGCCTAAAGTCCCTGATGTCCCCATCCCCACCCTGGGGTCTTCCTGAAGGTCCCAGTCCCTCTCTTCACCCGGCCCCTCGCTCCCTGCAGCATCTCAGCTCCCCTCCCCATCCCAGCTCTTACCCAGGGAGTCCTGGGCCCGGATGTCGGCTCCATGCTCAATGAGGAGCCGCACGATCTCCTCGCTGTTCACACAGGCAGCAAAGGACAAAGGGTGCTCCCCTGTGGACACAGAGAGATCCATGGCAGGAGAGTGCAGGATGGCAGGGTGGGGTGGGCAGTCTCCCCCAAGTAATGGCCTCCTCCTCATCCCTCACATCTCAGCTCTAGGCTGAGGGACACTCCTCCAGCAGAACCAGAGGAAGGATGGTTGGGGGAATTGGCTTCTGGCTTAATTAAGCCCTAGAAGGGCTGCCCATCCCAGCTGCCCAACAGTTGGAGCTGAAGGCAGGAACCTCCTGCCCTGGCCTCCCTCTGCCTTGCCCGCCTCTCCAGCCAACCATCCTCCAAGCCCAACCCTGCTCTCACCAAAATAGATGAGGTTGCGGGGACTACGGCAGAAGGCAGTGCCTGTGGCTCTGGCAGAGACACTGGCCCTGCGGGTGAGCAGGGCTCGCACCAGGTTCACGTTCTGGTTCACAACAGCGATGTGCAGTGCAGTCTGACCTGGCCCAGAAACAGCCATCATCAGGGGTCTGCCTCTGTCCCCAGTTCTCTCAGGGACACAGCATCCCCCACCATCCCTCTCAGGACATTCCTGATAGATCTTTGCATAGACTTGTGCCCTGGGCTTGGCAGGGTGGCCTGGGACTGAGAGCAATTTGTCCTTCAGGCTGCCCTGCTCTTTGACCTACCCCTCAGTTATTGGGAGCCAGTAGGGGATTGCTATGAATACAATCGTTCTCGTGTTGCTATGAGAGAAAGAAATTGAGATAGGTCCTACAGGGACTGTGGGAGGATTGAAAGGAAATGCTAAAGGAAGCCACAGATTGGTAAAAGCCAAGACCAGGACCTTTGCATTTCTCCCAACTCAACTGAGCCTGTTCTCCTGACCCTCTATCTCCCCACCCCAACCCATCCTTCAGAAGCCAATTTTAAGAGACAACAGTACACCCTCCATCTCAAAGCTTCTGCCTTGAATTACTGTGTAGCCTCCTTACCTGCAAAAGCCTCACATGTGGTGGGCTCAAAGACCAACTCTGGGGCAGCCTCCATCAGCACCAAGGCCGCCTCCAAGTTGTCATAGAGGGCTGCTATGTGCAGTGCCGTCTCCCCCAGGGCTCCTGGAGTGGAGTAAGACAGAAATGTTAGACACTTTTCAGATTCCCTTGAGGAAGGGGCCTCAGGCTCCAGAGACACCCTCCAAGGCCCCATTTCACAAAGTCGAAGTCTTGGGGAGGAGGGGTAGGTGCTTCTGCTCCCACCTCCATCCCATTAAATCCAGATCCCACCTCTTTGTCGAACGTCACAGGTGCGGTCCAGTAGAAGTTGCCTAAGAACAGACAGGTCATTTTCCTTGGCTGCTCGAAGCAGTGGAGACTCTAGAATCCTGGGGAAAGGTGAACGTGAGTTTGGAAGAGACAGTCAGAGCAGAATGAGGCCAAGGGCAAAGGGGATCTGAGACATTCTTTAAGACCAATGTGACTCACACAGTGTGCAGTGACAAATTGGAAAGAAGTGCCTACTGGACTCGAATGACCGAGGCTGGACTTGGGCAAGGGTCAGCCCCAGGGCCTTCCTTGCAATTCACTTCATGGTGATTCTCCTGTGAGGATGGCCCTTGAAGCTCTGCTGGAGGGGAAGAATTAATAGGAAGACAACCTGTGGTCTGGAAAGAGTGGTGTGAGAGTCTCTGAGAAGAGGACCCTAGGCTTGGCTGAACTCATCTAACCAGAGAAACTGTCTCAGATCCTGGATAGTTGGAGAGCGGGACAGAGGGCACTTCCATCTGCGGTCCCCCTGCTCCTGGGCCTGCTGAGCCTACTGTCTTTAACAAAGGGGAGTCTGGGAGACCAAAACAGAGTGGGAGGAGGGACGGACCGACTGCTAGATCTTTCTTAGGCATTTTGAAATTTGTGAAATGTGTGAGGCACTAAAGTTCTGACTACTCCCTCGGGGGTTTTTTTTTCGTTTTTTTTGTTTTGTTTTGTTTTGTTTTGTTTTTTTGAGGCAGAGTCTTGCTCTGTTGCCCAGGCTGGAGTGCAGTGGTACGATCTCAGCTCACTGCAGCCTCTGTCTCCCAGGTTCAAGCAATTCTCGTGCCTCAGTCTCTCGAGTAGCTAGGATTACAGGCACGCACCACCACGCCCAGCTAATTTTTTGTATTTTTAGTAGAGACAGGGTTTTGCCATGTTGACCAGGCTGATCTCGAACTCCCGAGCTCAGGCAATCCGCCCGTCTCGGCCTCCCAAAGTGCTGAGATTACACTGCGCCCAGCCTCCTCCGGTTATTTAGATACAGATCCCTGCAGGGGGTGGAGAGTTGTGGGGTGAGTTACAGGGTATCTGTTTCTCCTGTGTGATACCCTTAGATGCAAGGGTCTAAACAGCTTGTTTATTTGGGTGTGTCTCAAGGCAAAACAGGTTGAGATATTCATTCTCCAGGACCTCTGTTAATCTTTGTTTCTACCATACCCAGATTTGAATCTAACAAGAGATAAAGCTGAAGCCTCTCCGACTAGACGTATGTATATTGGCCCCAAAGGCAAGCACAGGGTGTGGGGGGAAGAACAGAAAGGACAGGCCGATGAGTGGCTCCTCTGAGGTCCCCACCTCCAAATCCTTCTGTTTCAATAGCCCCAGGAGCCAGAGAGAAAAAGTGTTTTTATTTTATTTATTTATTTATTTTTGAGACAGAGTCTCACTCTATTGCCCAGACTGGAGTGCAGTGGTGTGATCTCAACTCACTGCAACCTCCGCCTCCCAGGTTCAAGCGATTCTCCTGCCTCAGCCTCCCAAGTAGCTGGAACTACAGATTCCCACTACCATGCCTGACTAATTTTTTATTTTTGCTAGAGAGGGGGTTTCACCATGTTGGCCAGGCTAGTCTCGAACTCCTGACCTCAGGTGATCCACCCACCTCAGCCTCCCAAAGTGCTGGGATTACAGGTGTGAGCCACCACACCCAGCCAAAGTGTTTTCATTTAAAGAAGAAGCTTTTAATCTAAAGTTGGCGCCTGGGTTTACCTGTTAGAGCAGTGCTCCTAGGAAGGGCCATTGTGAGGAGTCAGTGTTCCCTGCCCCTTCTCACCCAGGGAATCAGTCCCAGGGAGCCCAGTGTCCCTGACCAGCCCAGAGTGGTCAGGGCTGAGCTTGCAAACTGACCCCCATCCTGAGGTCACTGCACAAAGAAAGTCCTTGCCTCCCTGGCCCTCTAGCCCCACTGCCCCTCTGCAGAGAGTCCAGATTTGGGCTGGAGTCTCACTTTCTCAGAGACCCAGGGGTCCCACTCTAAAGCAGGAAGGTGAAAATTCCACTGCAGGTATGGGATGGGGAGGTGAGGAAGCAGAGGGCTTGCCGGTATGAGGGCTCAGAGGGACTTGGGACCAGGCCCAACGTAAACCTGCAAATGCAGGACCCCTTGTTCAAAATTATTAAGAATCTGAAGACGAGGACAGCAGGGCATTGAACCAAGCACAGGAATCTTCTGGAGTACAGGGGAGACCTTTGTGACTGCTAATGTCTGCTCACCAACCTCACCCCTCAGGCAGCTCTTGGGCGGGAGGCAAGCCCCAAAACACTTGGAGGCAGAGGCTGCCCATAGGATTCGTCCCTGCCCCAGCTGCTCTTCCTGGGACTGGACCTCAGGGCTAAGCCATAAAATGATTTACCTGCAGGTGTGCTAGCCCTGCCCGAACTGAGAGCTCTCCGGGAGCAGGCACAAGTCTCATTCAATCTTTGTGTCATTGGGACCTAGCACCCCTCTGCACACAGTAGACTCAATAAAAGGCAGATGGACTGAACTCAGAACCCTCCAGTGTCACCTGGGCTGCCCTCCTCAGCTGGTCAGCACCCAGTGTTACCCCAAACAAAGCTCTCCTCCCCTTTCCCACACAATCCACTTTCATTCAAACGAATGGTGTTTCCTCATCGTGCTTCCACCACCCACAGGAGTGCATCCCTTCTCCAGCAGCCTGCTTCTGCCTGCCCTCCCCATCCCACACACCCTGGCTTCTTCCCTCTGGTGCTTTTTGGTCCTCTCACTCCCCCTCGGCTGTCATTCTGCCTCTGTCCTTAGGTCTACCCTCAAGATTTCCCTGGGTGGCCCAAAGTCACGTCCTCCACCACCACTAAAAGGGGCCAGCTGGGATTCCGTCATTGGGTGGCCTGGAAGGAAAGGGTGTGTCCGAGTGGCTGGCACTGAATTCTGGGGTGCTCTATTCGGGAAGCCGGCCCAGGTGGGTCAGAAGGACTGATGACCACGGCGGTAGGGCCACGAATCCTTCTGGGACCTACCTCTTCTGCTGCAGCATATGAAGCTTGTCCAGGTGCTGGTCCCAGTCTTGTTCTCTGACAAGAAAGGAGGGCAGAAGTTTCTGGAGTTGGCTCCTAGGCCCTTCTGCCTTAGATAGAAAACCCCCCATGCTTCTCCTTGCAGGCGCTGGCAGATTATAGAAATGTGGTGAAAGAAACAGGTCAAGGATGACAGCAGCTGAGCAAGAGATGGGGTCTGTTTGAGGCTGGTACTCTGAGTTTATCTCCTGTATGACTTGTGTATGCAGCATGCAGCTTGTGGGTGTGTGTGTGCATGCAGTATGTGGGTTGTGAGGTGTGCGTGTATGCACAGTGTGTGGCTATGGTGTGTGTGTGTGTGTGTGCATGCAGTGTGTGGTTGTGAGGTGGTGTGTCTGCATGCAGTGTGTGGTTGTGAGGTGGTGTGTGTGCATGCAGGTGCGCTGAGGGGACTGAGCGCCCTGCCTGGGGAGAAGTGCTTTTCCTGGAGGGGGAGGAGCTCTTTGCAGAGCTGAGCCCCAGGGCCACAGAACCACCTTGGAAAAGAAAAGGAGGAGGGGAAAGAAGGTTCCTAACTGTGGGCTGGGATGGTTGAGACCCAGAGAAGCTGAGGGGTAGGGCAGAGGAATTCGGAAAAAAAAGGGATGGAAGGTGGGTCCACAAACAAGGTGCAAGGTGTGTGGTTAGTTGGATGAAGGAGAGGAGGAAGTAAAGACCTCCAGCTCAAGAGTCAGGCAGAGCCTGGTACAAATCCTGACTCTTATCCCTTACAGTTAGTGAGACTTTGCAGTCTCAGTTCCTAACCTGTGGAATTGGGGTAACAGCTATGCTGCCTCACAGGAGCATCGGTAAAGCACGTGTCACAAGTACTCAATCACTGCTGATCCTCCTTCCACAAGTGGGCTCAAGAGACCCCCCGGGCTTCTTCTCAGAGCTTCCCATTTATGTGTCTTGTCATCTCTGTCCTCAACCCTGCATCTCAAAGGAGGGTTTCTGTCCCCTACTTCCCAGGCCAACCCCTCTCTGTTAGAATTCCTCATGACCGTGACCAGTCAGCTTCCCGGAGCATCACCGAGCAGGCTCTCTTGTCCCTGGGGAGGCAGGCCAGAGGAGCCCCCAGGGGCCCTGAGTTACTATGGAGGTTGAACAGCAGAAACTGGGCAAAGGTAGATGACAAAGAAATCATGATTCCACGTTTGGGACTCTTTCCAGGAATGAAACACCAGGAGGAATGAGTAATGTTGAGTAATTTTATATATTTTATATTATATTTTATATATTAAGTAGTTTCCCTTATCCACAGTTTCACTCTCTTACAGTTCAGTTATCTAAGGTCAGCCACAGTTGGAAAATAGGTGGGTACAGTACTATAACATATTTTGAGAGAGAGAGAGAGCATTCACATAACTTTATATTATTATAATTTTCTATTTTGTTTTATTGTTGTTAAACTCTTTTTTTTTTTTTGAGACAGAGTTTCACTTTTGTCTCCCAGGCTGGAGAGTAATGGTGTGATCTCGGCTCACTGAAACCTCCACCTTCCAGGTTCAAGCTATTCTCCTTCTGCAGTCTCCCTAGTAGCTGAGATTACAGGTGCCCACCATCACGCCCGGCTAATTTTTTTATTTTTAGTAGAGACAGGTTTTCACCATGTTGGCCAGGCTGGTCTCAAACTCCTGATCTCAGGTGATCTGCTTGCCTCAGCCTCCTGAAGTGCTGGGATTACAGGTGTGAGCCACTGTGCCTGGCCTAAACTCTTAACTGTGCCTAATTTATAAATTAAATTTCATCATATGTAGGTATGTATGTATATATATGGGATAAAAGATAGTATACACGGGGTTTGGCGCTATCTAAGGTTCCTGGCATCCACTGGGGCATCTTGGAATGTGTCCCCTGAGGTTAAGAGGGGACTTCTGTATATGATAGCTTGTATTTATGTTCTCATTGTTTTCAAAGAGGTACATCAGTATTATTGAATTGCATGCACTCAATAGATGTATCAGGTAAATGAGAACAAGGAAGAATTCTCTGTGTGAGAATCCTTGGGTGTGTTGGCCCCAAGCCCCATGGCTAGTGGCGAGACTGGAACTGGCCATGAACTTGAGATCTCAGCTCCAAACCACTCTCCAGAACTTGTTCCTTCTTGGGAATCTTTTGGCTATAAAGATGTGAGAGACCAGTGTGAGGATACGCTGGGACCCTCCCTCTGGGGGTCTTGAAGAGTGGGGACTGCCCCCTTCTTTTGTTGTAAGAAAGAGAGATCTGCTCCCGAGATTGAGGGATGGACCAAATAACCTTTAGAGAAGGACAAGAATTGAAAGGAAAATAAATAGGGAAACTAAGAGGAGCTAATATTCATTGATGTTTCCAAAGGGGGAACATTTGGATCTTTTTCTTATTAAAAGCCAGAAGGAAAAGTTAAAAAAAAAAAAAAAAAGATACAGTGGAATTATGTTCTCACTGGGAGTGGGGAGGGCTCAATTTGTGGGACATTTTTCTGCCTCGCTGGGGGTGACGCCCTTGTGGAGTGACTTCCAGTCTAAGGAGATGGAGGGAGCGATAAGGGTGAGGTGGGGGTTGTAGATGCCTTGATAAGCAAGGCAGGCCAGGAAAGGAGCACCTGCCAAGGAAACTACAACCCATAAAGCTGGTCCTGGAGCAGGGGGGTTGGGACATGGGGGGCCGGCAGGGGAGGAGGCTGGCCCAGTCTGAGCTGCACAGAGCAGGCGTGCAGGGACTTGCCGCCAAGGGCATTGTCCAGGGGTCTGGGGAAGAGAAAGGGGAGGCCCAGTGCTCAGGCCTCCCCTTCCCACCGCCATCCCTGGGCCTTCTCCCTCTCACTTGCCCTTCTCTGCCTACCTTGTCCTCCCCAGTGGGAAGGGCATGGACAAGTAGCCTGGGTGAGAACCACGGTGTCCCCCGCAGTCCCAGCTGGTAGACCAGAGATTTGGAATCTCTCCTGGCCTTCTCTCCCTACTGTTTCTTCCTCTTGTGATATTCAACATTACCATTCTATTTTTCCTTTTCTCTCCTTTCTTTTCATGCCTTTCTCAGCTTTCTGCAAGTGAGGACGCCTGCAAACTCTCCCCTTCAGAGAACAGCTTCCCTGCCGCTGATGCACGGTCAGTAATGCCTCCAGGCACCCGGGAGAACTGGGTTGGGGGCATCAAACTACACTGTCAGGTCCCAGAACCCTTCACACCAAAGCAGCCTGACCTCTTATTCTAACATAGTAAGGAGGAGGAGGAAACATAATTCCTAGATTTCCATTTTTAAGAATTACACTCCCACCCCACGTGGCCACAGCCATCTAGGAAAAGGATTCAGGGCCAGGTGCGGTGGCTCATGCCTGTCATCTCAGCACTTTGGGAGGCCGAGGTGGGCACATCACGAGGTCAGGAGTTAGAGACCAGCCTGGCCAACATGGTGAAACCCCGTCTCTACTAAATTAAAAAAAAAAAAAATTAGCTGGACAAGGTGGCAGCCACCTGTAATCCCAGCTACTCGGGAGGCTGAGACAGGAGAATCACTTGAACCCAGGAGGCGGAGGTTGTGGGTGAGCCGAGATCGTGCCATTGCACTCCAGTCTGTGCAGCAAGAGCGAGACTCCATCTCAAAAACAACAGTGATTATCACTGGATGGTGGAATCATTAGCCTTTTGGGGGTTTTGTATTTTTCTGTATTTTATACTTTTGTAATAAGAAAAAGTATTTAAGGGATTCCCTGTTTTCTGCAAGAATTTATCTCTTTCAACACTGGGTGCGGGGGTGGTGTCAGGCTGGTGGTGGTGGTAAGGAAATGGAAGTAATGGAAACAACTCAGTTATTTCCACTCAAGCCTGCCCGGGAGGCAATTCTCACCCCAGCCACCCCACCCATTCATTCCCACAGAGCGGGAGATGGCTTCTCTTTTTGCCAGGAAACCAAGAGGCTCCTCCCCCAAAAATAGCCAGGAGGGAGGAGATTAGTGATGGTTTTTTCCATTCAAGCATCATTCTTTGGATCTCAGGTCAATGGGTTCAAGGTAGGGGTGAGCAAGGTCACCTGCCTACTTGAATCTTTCCTTACTCACCTTCAAGTGACCTCCTGTACCACTCCCCAGTCCCTCGTCATCTGGCTTGGACCATCAGGAAGTGTAAGAGATGGTGCTGCCGTATGCGAGAGAGCATCCATGTGGGCATGTCTGCTGACACAAGTAACCTCTGTGGGAAAGCATCTCCTTGTGTGTTTCTCTGTCTGCAGTTCGCTCTTGCGGAAAGGGTGCCTGTCTCCGCAGTGTCCTTGGACCTGCCTGTGGTGTTTCATTCAGGTCTGGTATGCATGGATGAGCAGGAGCAGTGTGAACTGGTTATGAGAGTTCAGGAGTGACTAAAGTCTCCTCTTACCTGTCTTAGCAGCCATCCTGCATCTCATGGCCCACGTCTCTGTTGCTGGTTTTTGAAAAAAGGTCTTCATTCTGTCTCCCTAACTCACAACCCTCCAACCATCTCTGCCCAAGAAGCAGTTGGGGGTGATTACCCACAGCCAGTTGCTGCCAACAGATCTGTGCTCGCCAGGCTCATGGGCAGGAGGCACATCCGGGTACTGAGGCACGATTCTTCCAGATCTGTTATTTGGGATCCTAGACTCCCTGCCACACTGCGGCTTCTCTGCAGACTCTAACTCCTTCCGCCAGCAATAAGGTTGGAGATGAGTCTCTAACAACCTTTTCTTTCTGTCTAAGAGTACAGAAAGGTGTAAAATGAAAGGAGAGGCTGTTTCAGCCTGGTGGTACAAGAGGGCAAAGGCTAGAAAAGGGGGAAAACCAGGGGAGGGTGAAGAGAGGGTGTGAATGGGTTCTACTGGCTGCAAGGCACCCTGCTCTGTCTCTCTCTCTCTCTCTCTGATCACTCTCTCTTCATCTGTCTCTCTGTCTGTACGTCTCTATCTCTCTCTGTCTCTACCCCTCAGTTTCTGCCTGTCTCTGTGTCTTTCTCTTTTTCTATGTCTCTGTCTGTCTCTGCCTGTCTCTGCCTGTCTCTGTTTCCCTGTCTCTGTCTTTTATACACACACAGAGCATGTGCCCTTGCCCGTCCTCGCCCTGTGCTCCTCCCATCTTTATTTTCTGGCAGACCCATGCTTCATGTAGAGCAGCATGTTCATGCCCACGACTTGAGAATCCTGGCTGGCACGCCTGTTCTGGGCCTCATCCTATGCAAACCACTCTGTTACAGAAAGGCCACATGGAATAGTGGGAAGATATCATATTTAAAAGTAAAAGTTAATCAAGAGTCCTTTTCTGCCCCTTAATATTTGGGTGATTTTGAGTGACAGAGTCATTTTGTCTTTGAGCCTGTTTCCTCATGCATATAATGGATATGAGAACACTATGATTTTGCAGTCCTGGTTGCTACGTGGATCTAATGGTGTAATGGATGTGAATGTACCTTGCAAACTCTTAAGTCATTTCTGTTACTAAATACAGGATGACCCACTGTGTTCATCTTGGAAGCCTCTGCCATGCCTTTGGCTGTGCTCTATTCTCGTGCCTCGCCATGGAATGCTCTACTGAGCTGGAATGAAGGTCAGGCCCATGGCTGTGATGTCACAGAACATGTGAAGTCAGAGGTCCTATGGAAGGGAAGGGGAGAAAATGCCTCTGGAAAGGGGTAAGGGCCAGGACAGGAATGGGGCAGGAGGTGCAGGGATCCTGCTGGTCACTGGGAGCAGGGGGCGGCTGAAGGCAGTGAGTGGGCAGGTTCATGCCTCCCCTGGCCTCCCAGCTCTGCAGGGCAGCGTTCCTGGTTCCCATCTTGCTGCTGCTGCAGGTGAAGCCTCTGAATGGGAGCTCAGGCCCCAAAGATGGGAGCCAGACAGAGAAAACGCCCTCTGCAGGTAGGTGGAAAAAAAGATGGGAGCAGGACAGAGAAAACGCCCTCTGCAGGTAGGTAGAAAAAAAGATAGGAGAGTCTGGAAGCTCAGGGTCAGGTCTGTGTGAAGCCGGGCCCCAGGTCACTGATGAAGCTAGGGTGAGACCTGACATAGGTCTGGTTTATTGGGGGTAACTCCAGCTGCTGATGGTTGTCGTGTGACATAATAGTGTCAAGGAACACCATGGGCCAGCGGAGCTTGCATGCAACTTCTGTGTGAGTAAGCATGATGCATTTGGCTGGCTTCAAGGTGGCCCCTGACTCCCCTAGTGCTGAAACCCTAGAGGAGGCAGCTAGCCTTAGCAATGGTGTGTGTGTGTGTGTGTGTGTGTGTGTGTGTGTGTGTGTGTGTGTGTTTGAGTTGTGGCTGTGGTTGAACACAGAGCAGAAAAAACCTCTAGAAATAGCATCCCCTCTCTGGTCAAGGCCAAGGATATGGGCAATTGGGACTGCAGCCCTAGGCTTCAACGTGTTTTTCCTATTCTAACTTCTCCTTTCTGGTTCAGGCCAGGGTCAGGGTTCAGTTCTCATCCTTTTCCCCTGTTCCAGACCAGAATCAAGAACAGTTCGAAGAGCACTTTGTGGCCTCCTCAGTGGGTGAGATGTGGCAGGTGGTGGACATGGCCCAGCAAGAAGAAGACAAGTCGTCCAAGACGTCAGCTATTCACAAGCCCTCTTTCCACCTCGGTTTCTGCTTTAGTTTGGCCAGTGTCATGATTTTCTTAGGAGGGCCATTGAGGCCGACATTCCTAAATATCCATCTCTACTTCATGCTCACTTACTGACCCTCCCTCCCTTATGGGCTTCAGGTCACAACTCCCAAAGAAGATGCAGGCGTGGCTCTCTGCCTCTGATTACCATCACTGTACCTCAGGGTTCAGCATCAGAGTTACCAATTGCCATCAGTGCTGACTGACTGCCTCTCCGGGTTCGGAGTTTCATCTCCCAGGGCCAGAGACAGCAGACTCACATCCTTCTCTCCCACACCTCTCCTGGTTTTGTTCAGGACAGCAGATTAGAGGCAGGAGGCAATGACAATAAAATAACAATAAAATTCTGAGAACAACTGGGAGCAGCTTTCCGATACTTAATCCAAGCCCTTCTCGTCTTTAGCTAGACTGCTTTATTGTCCAATCTTTGGTCCACTGGGTGGTCTTCAAACCCACCAGGTCACCAATTGTTGATTTTTTCCTTTTCTTGTGTCCATGAAATATTTTTGGCATTTCTCCCTCTTATCTTTTCTGACTTCAGGTATTTTTCTCCCCTATAGTTAATGACTTCTAGGCATAGAACATAGCAGGAACAAGTCATTAAGAGACAAGCAGAAGCCAAGTGCCGGCTTTTATTTTTGGAACAGAAGTGGAAAGGAAATCTTGCTCTGATTCCATGGATGTGACCAGGGAGGTGTTGGTCGATATTTCTGTGCTGTGGCATCTTCGGTAACCAAGTTACCAGAGCTGGCAGCGGCTGGAGGGGCTCAAGAGGGTACCACGTGCACAGCGGAAGTATCTGGCAAAGGCTGGGGTGCTGCTGAGGGGCCCATGGACTCGGAGGTGTGGAGGGCTGTGAGTGTCATAAGATTCCTGGGGGCTGGGCTCCCTACACATCACCTGAGCAGGAAGAGAGGTCATTGAAGGAGGAGGGTCCACAAGACAAGGCTGACCTAGTGACAAGGGGTGATCAGGGACAGCAGACAAAGAGGGGAACAGGGGATCAAGTGCTCCAAGGGCCACATGGAGCATTTGAAATGTATAGTTCACTTAATCTGGTGATAGTAGTCCAGGAGGAGGGCCTGGGCTGTATAATGATACCATTTATCAGTGACCGAGAGGTGGGGTCTAGCACAGGAGCTCTGGGGTGAAGTCTAATCTAAGTGTGTTGAAGACCTGGCACCTGAGTCTGTTGAGGGAACAGAGGGTGCTTAAGGAGGTGATGTCAAGTGGCCGCCATACCTAAGGTCAGGCGTCTGAAGAGGAATGTGGCATACAGTCAGCCTGTCACAGGCTTTTTTTTTTTTTTTTTTGAGACTGAGTCTTGCTCTATCGCCCCGCCTGGAGTGCAGTGGCAGGATCTTGGCTCACTGCAACCTCCGCCTCCCAGGTTCAAGCGATTCTCGTACTTCAGTCTCCCGAGTAGCTGGGATTACAGGTGCCCGCCACCATGCCCAGCTAAGTTTTGTATTTTTTGTAGAGACAGGGTTTCACCATGTTGGCCAGGCTGGTCTTGAAATGCTGATCTCAAGTGATCCACCCGCCTCGGCCTCCCAAAGTGCCAGGATTACAGGCATGAGCCACTGCGCCCAGCCACAGGCTTATTTTTAAGGCATCTGCATTTTGGGGGTATGAGAGGAGAAAAAAGTTGGTCTCCTCTCCTGGAGGAACCTGGGAGTAGAGTTTTTTCTACCTTTGGAGTTGTAGGGGTGCTGAATTAGGTAGAAGAAACGGTAGTCATCTGAGGGGTGATTCCAAGGGGTAGGGAGGGATGAGAAAAGATGACAGTGAGGACATCTGCAGCAGAGGGTTTGGGGTATTTGGCAGAGTGTCCAAGGAGGGGAGTTCCATGAGCTTCAGTAATAAGGCGTTCAAACTGACATAAAGCAAGCTGTGGCAGGAGGTGGCTGTACCTACCTGGGCATAGCTTCGAAAGAAGATCTGCTGGGGGCTGAGGTCCAGGCGGGGCAGGACGGTCTCCCCACGGTGCCATAACAGCCTCTTGCTGTATGCCTGGGTAGGGGTGGGTGGAGAAGGGCCCTCAGGCTCTAGACCTGTGGCCATTTGTAAGTCCCTCCACACAGTACCCAAAACCCATGGCCCTTGCTCACTGGCTCTGCACTGACAAGTTGATCTGAGCCAGAAGAAAGAGTAATTCCCAGAAGACCTATAGATGTCCTAAAAACAGAAGATCTCTGGGGTAGGAGGGGGATCCCCAGGTTGCCGTCTGTTCAGGGGGCATGTGAAGGGCAGAAATCCATGCAACTGTACCTGCGTCAGGAAGGGTGGCAGGAAAATTTGAGCACATGTTTTCTAGTCTGCCAGTGCACATAAATTGTGGCCCTTGACACTTGCATACCTGCAGCGCAATGGCTAGCCCCCCCACGTCTGCAGCGTTCTCCAAGAATGTGAGGGAGTCATTGAAGGAGGTTCCGCTGGGTAATGGAAAGGCAGCATAATGGCGTTTCAGGCACAGGAGAGCTTCCTGGAGGGCATGGGTGTCACAGGCTGGGCACCCGCCAGGCAGCACTATTGAAAACAGGGCAAGAGAACATAGGGTTGGTGCTGCCGAGGTGAAGATGTGGGTGGTACCACAAACTGACCCAGCTCCCAGGAGCATGGCAAAGTTCCCAGGACTGCCCCACCTCAAACCTTAAATAACCTCCCTTTCCCCTCTAGGCCCCCCTGTGGCCTTCCCTTAGGTTCCCTATAATCCCACCTCCCAGTGGCCCCTGTTACCCACAGAGCTGGTAGAAGATGTGCAACAGCTCGTGGGCCATGATGCTGCCAGCAGCGCCAAAGTTCACAGCTCTAGGGAGACAAGGGCTTGTTTGACCCCCAGAATCTTTTGGCATTTTTGACCCCAATTCTCCAACTGTAAGTCCCATTCATTATAACACCTGTCGGCCCCTCTTGGGAAACTCCCTACCTACCCTCAGAGAGTAACCCATACCTGGGGTAGCCAGGGTGGAAGAACGGGGGTTGGAGGAGTCCAGCTGGAAAGACTACCACATGGTCAGATATTGAATAGTAAGCATTGACCTCCCAAGGGGACACCTTCCACCTGTGGGAAGAGCACAAGTGAACTCCAGCCCCCACCACATATTGCCCTGCCACCCTGAGACCTACGCAGTCCCTCCCAACTGCCGTTACTATTCAGGCTGCCTGCCCTGAGCCCTGGCTTCCTTTCCTACGAATCGTGGATGGATCTCTCCAGGATGGAGTGCCTGTGCCTCCCCTGCACTCATACCTGTGTTGGGGGCAAGGCTGCAAGAAGCTCTGGACAATTCTAGCTTGGAGGGACCGGACACAGCTCAGGACAGACTGCAGGAAGTTTGGTCCAAGTTGTATCTGGGGAAGAGGCAGGCGGTGACTTGGGCACACAGAGGCTTCTACAGATGCATGCTGACATACACCAAGGGGACCATTTGACCCAAAACAGGCAAGCCCTGACACACAGGCATCCAGGGATTAGGAGGCAGCAACCCGGTGGCATCACCACACAGCACACAGAGGCTTTACACAGATCAGCACACAGATGAACACGCCCAGACAAGTCACAGGATGCGTGCATGTGTGCGGGGACATGCATTGGGACCTGAAAAGATTCTATTCTTCTGCCAACAAGACCCAGTGTGGATATTCCCCCATCGACCCCAGCCAGCACCAGGGCAAGGACAGGGCTGAGTCACCCAGGGAAAAACTGAGTGTCCAACAAAGACTCAGGATGGTCAGAGAAGTGAGGAGAAGTCAAGGACTGAGAAGGAGCTGGAAAACACAGGGACCCACATCTCTGTATTCTGGTCGGGCCAGCTCTGGCTTCAGGGCCCATTCTGAAGCCCCCATCTCCACCTGCAGTTGAGCAACCTGGAGAGAGACACAGAGGGGGTAGGAACACTCTTCGAGTCTACCAGAGGGAATTTCTCCCACTCGTTGCTCTGTCCCACTGTTGCCTCCCAAGCCTCTCACGTTGTTGCCAGTGTGTGTATGCAGCCCAGTGGCTTCCCTACTTAGCTTGTGCCTAGGGGGCCTTTGGCACTTGTTTCCAGTCCCCATCTCGCTTGGTCCAATACTCCATTCCCCGCACAGGCTCCCATACCAGCCAGGATGCCTGATCTGACCTTGTCCTGGGCCATGTTCTGGGTCTCCTCATTCATCCAGGGAAGCTTTCTGAGGCGAGTGATGAGGGCATCCCGGATCGCAGTGAATAATTCCATGGCCTGTGGGAGTGAGGTCCGGGGACAGGGGGACAGGATCAGAAGAGGCCTCAGCCTGGAAAAGACCCTTGGAAAAGACCTTGGCCCCAAGGAGCTGCCTGTGCTGCAGCTGTTGCTTGAGCAGCAGCTCAACTAAAGCAACTAAAGGATCTGTGGAGAAAGGAAGCAGTGCCAAGCCCACAAAGGGAAGGTGGGGCCTGGCCATCCGTGAGGGCCATCAGGGAGATATAGTTCCTTTCCATGGGATATAGTAGCCTCACGCGGGAGAAAGACAGTGTCCTTACTCCCGGGGGCAGGAACACCTCCCAGCAAGCAGAGGGAGGAGAGGGCTGTCGTTCTCTCCTCTGGCTCCGGGCCCTTGTCTTCACACCATCTTTTTTAGTGTCCACTCCCTCTCCTCATCCTCCTGAGCTCTTCAGCTCAGTCCCCCACGTCTCCCCGGCTTCACAACCTGAGTGTGTACTCACTGCTTCCCCAGCCACCTGCCACCTCATGTAAATCCTTTCTTGGAGGGAAATGAAAGGCAATATCAAGAGGCTGGGCTCTGGCATCAGAATGCCTGAGTTCAAACCCTGTCTCTGCTTTTCGGTAACTGTGTGACCTTAGGCAAGTCACTTAACCTCTCTTTGCTTCAGTTCCCTCTTGCATAAAATCAGGATAATAACAGGAACTAAATGACGTAGTTCATGCAAAGCACTTGAAGGAGTCCCAGGCATGTGGTAGGTACTCAGAAAGTACTCAGTGTTGATTTATTTGACTTATTTGCCCTCTGCAAGATTATGTCATCCGTTCTGACGTCACGTCATGTGTTGTTAAAAAAATCTTAGATAACAGGGAGGAGCCTTAGAGATGATAGTGTTCAATTTTCCTTTTTTTAGTTGTTGTTGTTGTTTTGTCTTTGTTTTTGTTTTTGAGATGAAGTTTCACTCTTATCGCCCAGGCTGGAGTACAATGGCATGATCTCTGCTCACCGCAACCTCCGCCTCCCGGGTTCAAGCAATTGTCCTGCCTCAGCCTCCCGAGTAGCTGGGATTACAGGCATGCACCACCACACCCAGCTAATTTTGTATTTTTAGTAGAGATGGGGTTCTCCATGTTGGTCAGGCTGGTCTCAAACTCCTGACCTCAGGTGGTCTGCCCGCTTCGGCCTCCCAAAGTGCTCGGATTATAGGCATGAGCCACCGTGCCTCGCTCAATTTTCTCATTTGATGGTTGAAGAAACACAAGACCAGGAAAGTTGGGTGATTTGTCCAAGTGAGAGCATGTCATGGAGACTCTGTGGCCTAAAGCTGAACTGTTTCCACCCCAGGGATGGAGAAGGCCTTTGGGTTCCATCTCTCAGTGGCCCTTCTCTCTGACTGCCTGATTCCCCAGTCACACATACCACTGAGAAAGTCAAAGTTAATAGAATGAGGGAAGGCTGGGTTGGGTGGGAAGGGGTGGAGGGATGTGGGCTGGGAAGAGCTCTCACATACAGCACTTCGGGTGCTCGGGTCAAAGGCCTCACGAACAAACAAAGCCGCCAGCGTGGGCTCGAAGAACGTGCCTGTCTTCTCCACGCACTTCATCCATCGCGGGCGGGCGGGCTATGGAGACAAAGCTGGAATGAGTGGCTCCTGTTCAGGGCTCTTTCCTCATCTGTCTCCCCAGTCTTCACTAGATCTTCATTCCCAGAGGGTGCTCTTTTGACGGGACTTTCTGGGATTCATCTCAGTTTACTACCCCTTAGGGTGACGCACATCACCACTCAGTACAAAATAAGCACATCTTCCTCAGAGCTGGTCTCATGAGCCTGGCTGAGCAAATCCTTCATGTTATTGCCTATTGAATTTGACAGCAAGGCCTCTAGGAGGCATCATTCTGGGGGACCAAGAGGCTCCTGGGAAGAAGATGAGAACCCAAACCTCATACCTCGGCAATCTGATGTTCCCCCTGTTCCCCCCTACCCCTCCCAACCACTCTACTCCAGGGTCCCAGCAATGATTCCCATCCTCCATGCTTCTTTGCTCAAAACGGAGATTGCAGATGGAAATTCTGTTCTACCACCATCACCCTTATCCTCTCTCCAGGTGGGCATGGTGTATTATACTGTAGCATCTTATAAAGAAGAAAATTATCAGAGTAGAACTGGGTTTTAGATGCCATATTGTTTGCTAGGAAAAGAGGACACAAGACAAGACTCATTGTATAAATTCATAGAGCTGGAAGACTTCCAGCCAAGTCAGAGAGGAGAGAATAGAACGGGAAGGTGGAGGGCTTTCACTGCAGAGGCAGGAGGCCATGGACAAACACCCAAGAGGGCAGTGCCAGCTGAGGACCTCGAGAATGAGAAACATAAGAGACAGACGCTGAGAAGGTCTTGGCGGTAGGCTTGAATGGCTTTGAAAACTTGACCAAGGTGTAAACCCAGAGATGACACAGGGTAAATGGAGACACAAACTCAAGGAACCCAGGGGCAGGAGGAGGTAGCTGGCTTGAGGGAAAGCTGAGCTGGAACTGATAAATACCAGCTAATATGCTAATTTGGGTTAGGCAGGATGAAGCCTCAAAACTTTATTCCTGTGATTTTTTTACTTCCCAAAGACCTGTCCACAGGGAAGGTAGGAAGGGTGCCACTAATACTCTCTCTGCAGGAGCTAGGCTGGTCCTGGGAACGGAGGCGGTTTATGTGCATCCCACTAGAGGAAACAGACCAAAGAGGCCAGTCTGGTAGTCACTGAAGAAGAAACTTCTGAACCCACTAGTTAAAGAGGTTATCATTTTGGAGGTTGCTGCAGGCCTGGCTGCCCACATCTGTGTTCTGTTGCACCTTGAGGTCTGCTAACCTTGTCTATTTTTATTTTTATTTTTATTTCTATTTTGTAACAGAGTCTCACTCTGTGACCCAGGCTGGAGAACAGTGGTGCGATCTCGGCTCACTGCAATCTTCACCTCCCGGGTTCAAGTGAGTCTTCTGTTCAGTCTCCCAAGTAGCTGGGATTACAGGTGGCTACCACCAGAGATGGAGTTTTGCCATGTTGGCCAGGCTGGTCTCAAACTCCTGGGCTCAAGTGATCCACCTGCCTTGGCCTCCCAAAGTGCTGGGATTACAGGCATGAGCCGCCGCACCTGGCCAACCTTGTCTCTGATAAAGAGAAGAGGCTCAGATTCTTCTCATGCTGCATGAGTTGGAGCTCTGAAACAACAGGAACTAAAAGGAAATCCGGGTCTGAAAGCAATTATAGGGCCAAGTTGAGAATCTGCCAGCCACATTCTGCTGGACAAGCTTGGCTCCAGGAATACCTCTTATCAGACAGTTGCTACACCTGGAGCAGCAACCAGCATCAAAAGAGAGCTCACTTGAGCTTGGAAGTGTGGATCTGCCTACCCTGCTCACCCTCCTGTTCTTGATTTGTTTCCTGATGCCCTTTGCTGGAGCCTGATCATTTCTCCAACATGCTTTGCCATGGGACCTGACTGCTGGAGAGTATAATCGCCACTGCAGACTACTGCTACAGCTGTCTCTCAAGATGTGGAATGGTAGTGTATACCACACTGACTGCAAAGGGAGAGTTACAGAGAGAGAGAGAAGGAGAGAAATAGAATTAGAGAAAAAAAAGTCTCCAAAATATAAACAATAGAAAAAATATTTCAAACCCAAGATAAAGAAACTCAGTGGACTAATTTTAGGGCACCAAAAAAAAAAAAAGTTGCACATGTAACCTCAGAACCACAAATAGTATTTGAGAAATGATAGAAATCAGGACAAATTCTACAAGTCCGGAGGGAAGCAAAAATTTGACCAATCTTCTATAGGATGAAAGGAAATTTTAGGGATTACAGGCCAACCAGGAAACTTTAACGTTAATTTCTAAGCAAAATTGTAGAACGAATCGTTAGACAGTTTTTGAACACTTGGAAAATAATGTGTAACTACTAAGGACTATGATAGGATCACTGAAGAAAAATGATGTCAAAATAATAAAAATTCCTCTGGCTAAAAGTCTTGTGTAACTAAGGCATATGAAAGACCAGAACCCCCAAACTCCAATAGGGGCCATGTGGAGGCATAACAGAGAACAGCAGGGCAACATCAGAGCCACAGAGCATGGTGGGGCTACAGAGAACGCACCCAGCCCCCAGCTGCGCCATGTAGCGACAGTCAGTTGTCGCCACAGGAGAAGGCTAGTCCAGTGTTTCCCAAGCTTCACAGACGTGCGCGCGCGCACACACACACACACACACACAGCGTGGAAACCTGGCGCGGGCACACACACACACACACAGGGTGGAAAACTGAATGCTGGCATGCCATATCCTAATTTTTGAATATTGGTGATTAATTCAATGTTTGCAAAAGATTCTACAGGCTAACAAAACCCATCTATAGACGAAATACATCCTCAAGCACCACGACCATCCTACCACTGAATAGAGTATTAGCACTTACTAAGTTTGAGTTATTAACTTAAACCCCTGTGATTCAGTGACACCAGTTGTCAAAATGAAAACAACATCTAGTCTACCTTCCTCACAGGTTTGGGGATCAGGTGAAATAATACCTTTCAAGTACTCTAAGGCACTACCCCACTCTGTTGGCATTATCTTGATTTAGCCATTCTTGGAAAATACAGATTGAGTCCTAGTGAATTAGAGAAACTGATGTTGAATGACAGTGCAGTTACAGTGGAGTCTCATCTGGCCAAATCATAAGTAAACATCAATGGTGAATGATATCAAGTTAACTTGACCTCCCCTGACATTCCTACTAAGAATCCTAACTACCACTCACTTAGCATTTCCTTGCCTCATTTCCTGTTTTGCTTTCCTTCATAACACAACCTAACATATTTTATTATTTTATTAGTTTGTTTATTGCCTTTCTTCCTTCACCAGGATATACAGCTGAAGGCAAGGTTATTTATTTGTCTGTTTTGTTCATTGCTGCATTCCAAGTGCCTGGAGAAGTACCTGAAGTACACTAGGTTCTCAACAAATGTTTGTTACAAAAACGAATGCATAAATCCATAGCTAGGTCTTCAATAACCTGACCAATGCCCTTCTCCCTTCAGGATCTTAACAGTAGTCTGGATGAAGATACACTGAATAAAACTGCAAATGATCCAAAGCTGGAAGACCTGAATAAATTGAGATGTTGGGCTGAATATAAATCATTCACATTTAATCATCACAAATGTGAAGTTCTGCTTTTACTTCTCAAAACCGACCTTCCTAAATTTCACAAAAGAAAACCTGACTTAACAGCCATTTTCATTGACTATAACTCTATTCAAAACTAATCATCCAAAGATGGTCCAATAATGAGATTTAGAAATCTTCTGTATAAGGGCACTATAGAGTATAATTCATTCAAAAGAATATGATCAGAAGTCGGTAATTAATGGCCACTGAATTGAACCAAACATTTTGATCATATCAAGGCCAAACTCTAGGTCATGTCTTTGATTCCATTCTTCCTCTCACATCACTCATCATCAGGACATCCCATTGCTAACCTTAAAATATGTTCTTTTAAAATACAAATGAGATAAATCCCTCTGCATGTCTCTATTTCATAGAGAGAGAAGCAAAAGTCCTTCAGTGACCTACCAGACCTTGTATGGTTCTCTCCTTCCTGCTCTGATTCCCTCCCCACTATTGTCCTAATCACTCTGATCCAGGTGCCCTGGCTTCCTTGCTGATTCTCAAACACCCGGAGCATGCTCCACGGGCATCAGTGGACACAGCCTGCCATGCAAGCCTAGTCTTCCCTTCTCAGCCAGAGCCACCAGGAGGATCCTTCACTCTGCACCAAGTTTTAGCCAGCCTGCCTCCTGCCCTATCCCAATGAGATGATACCCCTTTCTTCACCAGAAAACTTCTTCCTCTCTCTAAACTTTTTGTCGGTTCCACCTCCTGCACAGAGATCCCACTGATCCTTCAAATGCTCCCTGATCTCTCCCTCTTGGGAACTCCAAAAATATCTGCTGTCTAAATCAGGATCCCCATATCTGCTGTCTAAATTAGGATCCCCTGCGAACACAGCCATACCTATCCATTTACTTAGTGTATAGCTGTTTTTGCACTGCAGGGACAGAGTTGAGCAGTTGTAACACCAACCATTTATGGATCACGAAGTCAGTATTTACTATCTTGCCCTTTATAAAAAAGTTTTCTAACCTTTGTTTGTAGCACCTACTTATTTCTCAATCCTGTACAGTGTGTGGTTAAAAACATGACTTTATGAGCCAAAACATCTGTTTTGGAGTCTGTTCATTTACTTGTGAGCTGTGTGGTCTTGGGAAAGTTTCTTGACCTTTCTAAGCCTATTTTTGCATCTGAGAAACAGGGATTGTAAACCTCCAAGTGTTTCTGGAAGATTTAAACGAAATAACCTGTCCTAAGTGCTAACAGACAATGACTACTCCATGTATATCAGCTATTATCATTAAGTGTCATCTTTTATACTATTGTCGCAGAAAGGGGAAGTGGCTTCCCCAAGGTCACACAACTATTTGTTGGCAGAGATTAATTCAGCTTTTAAGCCCAAGGACAATTACGTGTCCTAATAGAAAAGATAATGGCTTCAGGACATCTAACCCTTCTGTATTCTTTAAGCCTAAGCCTCAACATTAGCACTCTTACAACCTCCAAGAAGTGCCATGAGGCTATGGTGCTGGCGTTTATAGGTAGCTGTTTGTTGCCAGGATTTTGTAGCAATCCCAATTAAGATAACTTGGGGCTCTGGTCTGCTTCACCTGAATCAAGAGAAAAGCTGGGCAGAAGCTTCTTGGCGACTCTCCAACCCAAGTGATGCTCCTCAGGAAGACTGCTTTTTAAGCACAATGAGCAAACAACACAGACCCTGGAGCCAGACTGCCAGGGTTCAAATCCTCACTTCACTAACTTACTGTCATACCTGAGCAACTTCCTTAACTTTCGTGCCTCTGTTTCCTCATCTTTAAAACAGGAACAAAATGGCACCCATGGTACCTCATGGAATTGTAAAGATTAAATCAGCTAATAGAGCTAAAGGTTTTCAAAGAGTGTCTAGCGCATCATTAGCTCTTGATAAGCAATAACTACATTCCAGTCCCAGTGAATGCCTTTTCCTTCTCTGAATTCCACAGCAATTTTAGGTTGCCAAAGCAGAGAGTTTCTCCAAGGCAGGGAAATGGCCCACAAATTACTAAGAAAAAAAATCCAGTGATTTTTAAGACTAACCTGAAGCCTTCACTGAGGTTGGGACATATCCAATGTACTAGACTCTTCTGCTCGCTTTTGGATATATCCAACTTGGGATTTCAAGATTCTCAGCAAAGGAGCATCTCTGTGTCTTATGTAATAAGTAGACTCTGGTGAGTGAAGTGCATTTTCTACCCAGGCCCCTCCTCAGCTATATCCACATCTGTGCCACAAAGCCTACATGTGGCCCAATGGATCCCACTGGATATCAGAGATAAACTCTTTGTGAAGCATGTTTGAACATAAAATCAACTAGACATTAAGGAAGGCCACTGCTTAACATCTCTCTCTCTCATCCTAATAAATTGTAAGCTCTAAGTACAAGTTATCCTGAGCAAATAGTATAAGCGTAATGACAAAGAAAGGGCAGTCCTTGACAATTTCAGAGTTTTATATATGAGCTCAAACACCCAGCAAGAAGCCAGAGAAGTAGTCAGGCTGGGAGATGTGTGCCTGAAGGTCTGGCACATGGTATCTTGGTTTTCAAGTTAAACTTTGTCTGTCCAACTTGCCTGCTTCTGTGGAAAGCCAAGACATGGAGGGGCATCTACCATCGTGGCCCCCTCCCTGAGAGACAGATGCCAACATTTACCCCTCAAAAGAGTAGATACTCCTTTCGAGTATCTGGGCAAATACGCCCGCTCCTCTCCTCACCATGGGTGGTTGCTCTGTCAGTTCCCGCAGTTTCTGGCTGAGCTTTCTGCGTGCCTTCTGGAATTGACTGTCTAGGGCTGGAGAAAGGGTCCCCACCAGCCCTAAGATCATGTGGCTCTGCAGAAAGTCCCTATGGAGACAAAAGAGACCCACACATATACCCCAGGAATCTGGGGATGCCTCAAAAAGAGCCTCCTCTTATATAAGTCACCTTGATCCTCCTGAAGGCAGCCCCTTCTCCTCTGTATTAATAACTGTTTTAACATTGCACCCAAGTCAAAAAGAGCTTTTCGTGGTGTAGGTTGGGTGGGATCTAGCTCCTTAGTAAAAAAACTAGATGAAGAAGCAGCCTTCAAAGTCACAGGGAAAGAAAGTTCTGGGCTAGATGGAGTCTGGACTCATGTCATGAAACAGATTCTACTTCCACAGTCAAGGTATCTCAGGTTGTCCTCAGATGTATCTCACAAGCAGAAGTAAGCTGGTCTCTGTGACTCCTCTCTGCTCCACCGGCAATGCTCCTGCCAGAACTGCATTGCACCCTTATGTAAGCCTCCTCACTCCCATGTGAACAGGCAGCTACCTCCCTCAAAAAGGATTTCTAGATGCTGCTACCACCATGAAGAAGGCCCTTAGGCCCAAGCCCTTGGAAGAAATCTACTGCTTTCAGGTGGTAGCCACCCAGGGATCAGAGGAGGCAGAGACCCTAACAAAGAGCCACTCTCTCATGTCCACAACCCCAACACCCCCTTGATTTCCTGATACTAGCAGAAATGCTCTTAGACATTGTTTCCCATAAGAGCTCCAGAATCCTCACACCACACCTGAGGAATGGGCCCTCCTCTTGTTTTCTTCCCCTAAGCACCCCCAGCCTTCACCATCTTCATCTCCTCATCTCATGTGCCTCCTCCTCCAGCCCACAGTCCTCAGCTTCTAAAAAGACATACATGCACTCAACTGTCCTCTGTGTCTGGGTCTTCCAGCATCTTCTACAGCTCAGAGGCTCTTGACTGGCTGGTGTTCTACTCTCAGCAGACCTTGTGTCTTGGCTGACCCTCCATTCTTCATGTCGTGTGTATCCTCCCTTACTCGTGCTCCCAAGACACATCCCTCCATCCTCTCTGTGCCACCCACCCTACGCTTCTCTGCCCCCACAGGTAGCAAGTTCCTCTTATCTTCCTGGAAGGCCCTTACCAGCCTGCCTTCCCCAAGGTTTCCTCTGCCCCCAAGATCTATGGTACACAGGCTCTCCTCCGTTTCCATGATCTCCCCAATCCCACCTGGGGCAAACCTCTGCTTTAGCAGCATCTCCTCCACCAGTTGTGACATGTTTTTCAAATATTCCACATCATGGACCACGAGGGACTGAGAGGGGCTCAGGGACATCGGTGTGAATGTTGCTTGCAAGCAGGACAACCAGTCGATGGCAGGGGCAATTTCCTTAGAGGAGGGACACAAAGCTGAGGGGGAGAAGGAAAAGAGAAGGAAGGGGAAAGGGCTTCCCCTTGGGTGTCAGAAAAAGAAGAAAAGAGGCTAATTGGAGGAGGAGATGGAGCCAGAGACAGAATGAAAAGGAATTAAGGGCACTAGGAGGAAGAAGGAAATGAGGTAATGTTTGGGAGGAAGGTTCCCATGCCCACAGTCTTCTGGCCCCCAGTTCCAGGCACCTTGAGCTGGTCGATAGTGACCATCTGGAAGAGCTTGCCCTGTGCCCGCCGCTGCTCCAGGGGCCTCAGAAACTGGAACAGCCGTGAAGTGATGATGAGGGACCTGAAAGCGTGTTCTTGCACCTTGTTTGGGTCTCCTCCCAGCAAGGTTCCCAGCTGATTTAAGTAAGTCAGGTATTCCCGAAAGATCTGGAGGAAGGAAATGTCAGTCACAGGTGCCAGAGGTGCCCACCTTTCTCCTGGCCTCAGAGGGCAGGGCCTTTGTCCATGTGCCATCTTACCTGGGCATAGGTCTTCTGTTCCTGATCTTGCTTGAGGGGAACATCAAATTCTGGCTGGTCTATCTGGACACAAGAGAGACTGGAGAGAAGCAGGGAGCATGGCAGATGGAGAGGGCAGGCGTGGGGAGGTGGGGAATATACCATGGGAGATGGCCTTGGGAGATGGACCTAAAGACTGGACAGAAGAGAAGCAAGAGTACAAAGAAAGGAAGGGATTAGGGGTTGAGGGGCATGAGAAGAGTCCAGATGTGAGAATGGGAAGAGATGGTGAGTATTACAACCAATGTGGGTGTGCCAAGTAAGGCAGAAGCATAATAATCAGCATTCTAAAAGGAGCTATTCTTTGTCTCAGGAACAACGCCAGGGTGAGTGAAGTGAGGAACTTGTCCCAGGTACAAAATCTAAGACACACCAAAAACTCAGTAATCAAACTGCAACCTAACTTAGGAGTATATTCTTGCAATAGGTAGCTCCATCTCAGCCAGCCATAGCAGTTGATCTTCAGGCAACCATAGGCTGTCAAGTGATCAGCCCATGTCCATTAAAGACAATTGCTAAGCTGTAACCAGTCAAGTTGTTTCTGGGTGTCACTTCCTCTTTCTGTAAATACTGCCTGCCTACATTGTTGGGTGGAGCTCTCTGAACCTCTACTCCTTCAGGATGCTGCCCAATTCACAAATCAGTCTTTGCTCAAATAAACTCTTTTTTTAAAAAAACTCAGTAATCAAGATGAATACTTAATTAACATTTTAAAAAATCAAAATTACTACCAAAAATGTATGATAAATAAAATCTCAAAACTTTGCTTATCATGGACTTTTTTCTCCCAAAAAACATACTTTTAGTCAATTTTGAAAAGAATCATGTTGTGTTCAAGAAAAGTCCTCAGTGTATTTTTGATTCATTTTGAAAAGAAAAATCATTAGTATTTTCAAAATGATTCACATAGAATTTTTTCCATTTTGGGGAAAAAAGCATAATCTTTTGTCAAAAAATTCATAATGAAGAAAAGTTTGATATTTTGGTTCATCATGTATTGTTGCATTGATTTTGATTTTTTAGGAATGTGTATTAAAATACTATTTATCATGATACTGAGTTTTAGGGACCTTCTTAAATTAGCACCCCAGGTAAGCACCATGTATATTTCACCTTAGTCTGGCCCTGATGAATCCTTGATTCTATTCTGAAGATCTTTGCTTCTACCCTTTCCCTTTTCTTCTCCAATTTCAATATCCCACTCTTATCTTCAGCCATATACTTTTCCTTCTGTCTTGAAAAAAACTTTCACTTGACCCTTTTGCTACATTGTATGTCCACAGTTCAAGGAACAAAAAAGCATCTATGCCCACTGTTTCCACTTTCTTACCTTCCTCCTAAGCTCCGTACAGTCTGTGTCCACTGCCATAACTGTTTGGAAAGTATCTTTAGGTATCCAAGGGTGTCTTCTCATTCCTTGTTCTCTGAGCTGACCCCTCCTTCCTGAAGCTCCTTTTCTTTCCTTTGTGGCCCACCATACTGGTCTAGCTCCCATCTCTCCAACTGTACTCACTCTTCCCTGGCTCCCTTCTGCCCTCAGTCTTTGAAGTTCTCCTTCTGTAGTCCATCTTTCCTACCTGCTTTTAACCCAAGAGACTATCTAGGCTCACACTGATGATAACCACCCTTCTCCCATTCACACTAAATCAAAACAATGGGATCATTGTGTAATCCCCCACTTTCTTTATTTATATCCAATCAGTCACCAAATCCTCTAGAAACAGCATGGACTATCATCACTTTGGTGAAGTTGCCTAAATCCTTGTGCCTGGCTCTTCCTTTCCGTTTCTACCTCTATCTCAGGGCCTCAAAAAATGCTCATTTAGTTTCCTCGACACTCCCAGACTGACATTCAAAACTGCTGACTATGCACAACCATCAAAATATTTGCTGTATGCACAATTGTCCTAACAGTTGGATGGCCTCAGTAGCTCTTTTTTTTTTTTTTCTATTATGTCAAATGTTTCACCTCTGCCTGACTTCTTAGAAATAATCAGGCTCAACCTTATGTCTTCAGTCTCACTTTTACCTCCCACTGCACCCCACTCTGCCTCCCAAATCCTCAGTTAATAGACCAGCATCCTCACTGACCCCATGGAGGAATCACATCATTCCAGGTCCTCCCCCTGGCTCAGGATTGCCAACACCCCATAGCTTCACCTCCACTTGTGTGAATTAACCATGTTTCAAGGCTTGCTTAGTTCGCCTTCTCTCATTCTCTCCTCTCTGGGCCTCTTCTTAACCAGATCTTTACTGGCCCCCAAAGACTACATCAGTTAAACTCCTGAGCACACTGTTTAGAACTGAATTTTAGAACACCTCATAATGATAATCAATTCTTTTGTACTTATCCTCTAGTAATTTTGTGGCTCTTTTGACAGTAGGGTCCAAATATGCAGATAGCATTACATTAACCACAATAGTGACAGCTCCAGTGTTTTTATTTAGTTACTCACTCAACATATACCTGGCAAAAGCCTCTAGCTGCCTGGCCCTGTGCTAGGTCCTAAGGAACAAAGGCAAATAAAGCATGGTCCTTTTCTAAGGAGGCTCACAATGTTCAACACAGAGTGATAAATGCTGAGAGCATGAGGAAATGAGAAAAGCGAGAGAAAGGCTTCATCTAACTCATAACCAGGGTGTCAGTGAAGACTTCCTGGAAGAGATAATAAAGTCAACATTTGAAAAACATGTAAGTTTTCCAGGTTCAGTGTGGGGGATGGTTGCAGGCACAGGGAGCAGCATAGGCAAAGAACTAAGAAATATTCCTGGAAGTAGCAGTGAGTCAGCATGGCTTGGGGGTAAGAGAGAAGGAATGTACAGGAGATAAGGCTGGAGAAGTGTGTAGGGGTCAGATCACAAGGTGCTTGCAAAGCTTTACTAAAGATTAGGGACTAGATTCTGATGACCTGGCAAGCCACTGGGTCATTGACAAGCATTTAAATACAGACAGTAGTATAGTTAGCCCTTGGTTTAGAAAAGTTCCCTCTAGTAAAAATAAAGAGTAAATAAAATGAGAGCAATCCTAGAGATAGGAGTAGTAGTTAAGGGGCTCTGAGATTAATCCAGATTTACAGTAAGAAAGACCAGGCCTACTTCTGTCTTCCCAGCACTGGCTCTGCTGCTCCATTTCCCACCCCCAGCTAATGTCCCTGACTTTCATATCAATAATTTTCCCTTAAGGTTGGGTTGTTTCCTATATCACACAGGTGTCCTCTCTTCCCAACCTGCAACCTTCCTCTAAGGGATGATTGACTAGAGATGGAGTCAGGCCAGGTCCAACTGTATCTTTGCCAGTGCATCCCTCACCTGGATGACTGGTGTGTGTGGCGAGGCAGGATGAGGTCCCAGGTAGGCTCTGAAGAAAGGGAAATGGCCATATTGACTCATGAGAAGTCTCAGCGTTCGGTTAAAGTTTAAGGAAGTCCAGTTACCAGAGATGCGCCAGCCTCCAAGCTTTAAAGGAGAGAGAAAGGGCTGAGCACAGGATCTGTGGAGCCCATCCCTCATTGTCTTGGTTGTCTCTTACACAGCTGCTACTGCCTGACCTCTGCCCTGGGCGCCTTGATTCCTCTAGGGCGCCACATCTGTCCTTTTTTATCTGCCTTCTCCCAAGGTCCTGATATTTCCACAGGGCATAACCATTTCCATCTCCATCTCTCTCCTAGAACTTGGGGGGCCCTAGGAAGAAGATCCACCCCCTAGGAAAAAAATGGCAGCCCTAAGCATGCATTGGTCCCATATGTTATGTGTCCAGAAAAGTTAGTATCCCATCTTTTCTCACCTCCTCAATAACTTGTCTGAGGGGACCAGTCCCTGCAGCTTCAATGGCACGTGTATCCATGCAGGAGTTGTAGAACTGGAAGGCTTTCTCCTCCCCAGAGCCTGAGTACCAGGAATTCCGGGCCTCTAGAAAGGAAGCATGGGAGTGAGGACTAAACTCTGATTTTATTTTTATCTTGCCCAAATTCCTATCAAAGGGGTCTGGGGAGTCATGCCCTATATCATAAGTTCTCATCAGATGGGTTTTATTTAACCCCATGTAACATGATTTACTTTCCAACCTGATTCTGGCATAACATTATGAGACAAAGAAGAAAATAAAAATATTTTACCCCCAAACATGATTCTTTGCCATATTTTGAAATGACCCTACAAAGCTGTTCTTTGTGGAGGAAAATTTGCATCTATAAAGAATCTCTATTAGCTATTAACATATCTGTGTTAACATAGCTAGATCTTTTGATTAACTAAGATCTGAACAGAAAACACTTGTCACCTATTGTCTCTAAGGGCAGCCACTATAAGACTTCAAAAGAACTTTGGTCTCCACAATCTTTATCTTACCCTGAACATTTCTTTTCTATCTATCCCAGATCTTTAGACAAACTCAACCGTCAACCCGGAAATGTTTAAATTCACCCATAGCCTGTAAGCCACCCCTGCCCCTTTGAGTTGTTCCACCTTTCTGGACCAAACCAATGTATTTCTTAAATGTATTTGATTGATGTCTCGTGCCTCTCTAAAATGTATAAAACCAAGCTGTGCCCCGGCCACCTTGGGCACATGTTCTCAGGATCTCCTGAGGGCTGTATCACAGGCCATTTTCACTCATATTTGGCTCAAAATAAATCTTTTCAAATATTTTACAGAGTTTGACTCTTTGTGTCGGCAGGAGAATTAAAGGAGTGGCAACTGGTGTAGAGGCAAAGAGGGAGGGTGGGAGACAGAGAGCTTACAGGAAAGAAAGACTCCCACAGAAGATGGAAGGAGGGGGAGGAATAGAGAGGAAAATAAGAAGGATGAGAGCACTGCCCAATTTGGGATAGACCAACTTGATGAAATGATGAAAGCAGGGAAAGAGAATGAGGAGAAGAAGACAATATGGAAAATAAAAGAAATGTGGGAAAGAAATCAAGAAGGAAAAGACAGGGACGAAAAGAGAAAGGTAGCAATAAGTGGGATATGGGCAAAGGATAAAAGAGAGAAATGAAAGACAGGAAAGAAAGAAATGACTGAAGAAATTAGACAAATTCAGGGAACTAGAAAACTTTAAGGAATTGGAGAGAAGAAAACTCATAAGGAAAGGTTTAGCAAAGAGAAGAAACAGGAGAGGACTCTCCTAGTCCAGACTTCTCATCCATTGATCCCAGGAAACAAACAAACACACTACAATAATCAAATGCAAGTCTCTCCGAATCATCCACCCTCTAATATCTAACACTCTTTCCACCCTCAGTCCCCCTGAAATCTATTCATCCCACTGTAGGCAATAGAATTTATCCTGAGCATATTTTTTCTTTTTATCTCTGAGCCTTCCCTGAAAGTATCCATCTACCCAAAGAGAGTCCACCTCCCACTCTTTCCCCATCAAAAAAGGGGGGCAGAGGGGTGCATTATTTTTCCCAGATTCTAATTGACAGTGTCAACACATTCTTTAGGTTCCCTTGCACTGGAAACGCATGCCTATCTTATATGTTCTTATTCCCAAATCCTCATCACCATCCACCAACTTCCTGGGACGCACTTCCAACCTCCTACACAGTTACAGTGTATCATTCTGGTTTTCCTCTCAGTCCTAGCAGTTTTCCTCTCCAGCCCCCATCTGCAGGAACTTTACTTCCACTGCCAATTAACTCAGCTCTCCTATTCTTCCAACATATCCTTTGTACTTACCCACTTTTTCTCTTATGCACAGTGATGAAGCCCTCTCTCACTTCCCACCCCACTATCCTACCCCTTTCATTCCACCATCATCCATCATCTCCAGTCATCCATCTCTATCATCCCACTTGTTCCAGGTCAACTTGCTTGCCATGGTCCAAGGTTTCAAAGGAGAAGCAAGAAGCAAGAGATCATTTTGAGAGAGGGGAGCTTTGGCATGGTGAGAGGGAGAGGATAACGTTGAAAAGGAGGCATTGGGAGACTAGAGGTTTTGGAGGTTAGAGAATGAGAGTGACAGACAAAAGAACTGAAATGCAGGAGGTGCTGAGGAGATGCTTGTGGAGGAAGACACCATGCATAGGATAGAAACTGAACATTTGGAGGAAGCAACAAAGATGGAGCTTGCTAAAAGGGACAAGTTGGAGAGAATGGAGTAATTATGGATACATGGAGAAGCAAAGAAGATGGAAATCAGATAAAGAAAAAAATGCAGAGAGGGACCAAGAGAAATGGAAGAAGGGTACCCAAGGTAAGGCAACAGGAAACAGTGAGAGAGGAGCAAATCCAGGCAGCTCCCGCCGTCCTACCTCTTTTACTCCCCCATCATCTCCAATCATCCATCCATATAATCCCACCTGGGATGGCACAAACCAGTTGTTCCACAACTACATAGGGTTTGGAGTAGTCATGGTCATTCTAGGCACCCACTTGCACAGAGCATCTTCTACCCTGCTTTCCTTACCCAGTATTCTCCGAAGTCGGTTTTTGTTCTTTGTGGCAAGCTCCTGAAAAGAATTATAGGTCCCTTTGACCCTTCCACAGGCAAAGCCAAAGAAGTCGGTGCAGGGGGCCACACTTGTGTTCCCAGAGGCCAGGTAATGATCCCGGAGATCCAAACACACAGATGTCTCACAGGGGCCTGTGGGGAAAAGCTCAGAGCTGGGAAAGAAGAGGCAAAAAGACCAGGGCTCTCCCAAGGGGCTAGGCAAAGAACATCAGGTGAGTAACTAAGCGGGGAGCAGAGAGGAAGAACAATGGGGACCCCAAGGGTCAGGGAGCACAGAAGCCCCAGGAGCAGGGACTGGGCCCAGGTGCCAGGGCTGGGCGAGGGCTGACTGGGTTAGGGTGTCTGGGATCTTGCTTACGAGGGCCACAGTTCTGGAAGATGTAGAACAAAAGCACAGAAAAACAAAGGAGCAGGCCCAAAACCTGGATAGCTGTCAGCACCCGCCTGGCCACTGCCCATGGCCTGCTCCCTTCCACGGGCAGCCTCTCCTCTGGAGTGCTCTGTGGGAGGAACCAAGAGGTGAAAGATAAAAGGTGGAGGGGATTGAGAGACAGGGATGGGAAGAGGAGGAGGAGAGGGGAGAGAGAATGCATCTGTTAGTGTTATAGTCACTTTATACAGAAATAATTATCCCAACTCTTCCTAAACCCAGTCCTACTTTAACTCCTGGAAGATGAGAAAACATGTCAACTGTTTTGGGTGAGGATGAAGCAGACAGTTAGGGGATGAATGTTTGTGGGATTTTAGAGCCCAGAGTGACAACATCAGTGTATTCCAGCCCTAGGAGAGAAGGCCACTTACCTCTTGGCTCCAGAGAGTCCCCATTCCACCTGCCTGGCTGGGTTCCCTCGGCTCTTCCTCACTTTGGTCCCCACTTTCCTGAAGTGAGTGGAGGGAGAAGGAGGAGACAGAAGCTGGTGCAGGAAACGGTGCATTGAAGAGAGTTTTCTCAGGCCATTTTGTTACCCTTGCTGCCCGCCCTGCCACCACACACATATTTTTATCTCAGGGCAGTCTTCCCAGATGGGCTTCAGAATGAACCTGTCCCCTGAATGTGCCATTTCTCACTCCCTCTCCCATTACCTCCCTCTCTCTCTCCCTTTCTACTCTGTAAGCCTCAGGTTCCCTCCCCTGCAGTGGGGGCAGGACATTTGCACACAGTCACCCTCACACCCCACCCAAGGCCTCTGACTCCAAAAGGGGACTTACCGTCTGTCTATCCTCTGTGGCTCCAGAATCGTTCCTGGTTCCACTCTAGGTGCTGATTTGGAGGACTGGGGTCCAGGAAACGGTCCCCCTTCTGCCCCCACCCCCGTTCCTTGATCTTGGAGAAGGGACACTTCTGCTGCTCTTTCCCCCTTGTCCCCAGACACACAGGACTGGCCTCTGGGTGGAGCCTGCTTATCAGTAGGGGGCACCCAGGTTTCTCCTCCCCCTTTATCTCAGCTTCTCAGGGGAGAAGAGGGAGGGAGTCCTCACTCCCCCAGCAATCTTGCCCTTGGTCTGCTCCTCTTGTCTCGCACTGTGACTCTGCCCGTGAAGTTCCTTTATTTCTAAAATATTCTTCCTTCTCTCCTTTCTTCTCTATTAAAAAATATGAGGCACAGTAAAATTTTAAAGAGTTTATTTAAGTAAGAAGCAATTCATGAATTGGGGAGCACCAGACTGACAAAAGTTTAATGTTGCGATGACAAAGTGTCAGAGGCAAGCATTTACTGGGAAGTTACAGAAGCAAAATAAAACATTATTTGACTGGTTTGCAGTTACATAATTGCCTTTTTAAAGTAACTTTTTGGAAAGTCCCTAGTCACATAATCATATGTTAGTTGACTACTTATCATCGGCTGGGGTTAAATTGTTATTTCTGTCATAAGCATTTATCGGAAATTGACCCAAGTTAAGTTTCACTTATGTTTGTAGTTTTAGCAAGAACATGGCTATTTTTAAGGTCTTCGGCTTTGTCTGCCTGGGAATTTTTCAGGCCCAGTCTCCATTTTAGTTTTGTTTTCACACCTCTCTGATTGGCTTTTCTGGGATTCATCAATTCCCAGGTCAAATGCCACCTTTCCCAGGAGACCTCCCAGCTCCATGCCCGTTCACACTTGTTCCCAAGCAGGCTTAATTGTTTCTTTCGGTGTTTCATAGCTCTGCTGGCTGCTGGCAGAGGCATGCATTCAAAAGATCACCCAGCTAGGAGACCCTAATCTGCTAATTATTAGCTCTGTGACAATAAGCAAGCCACTTAAACTCTGGGGCAGGTAAGCAAGTTTTGTCATCTGGAAAATGAAGGTAATACTTGCCCATGCCTATCTCATAGGATCTCATGCCTTCAACAAAAGAACAAGGCTTTACTGAGTCCCTCTTTCTTTCATTCTGCTTTCTGTTACACTGGTAGCTTGCCTCTTCATCTCCTTATTGATTGAAAACTATGTCATGGCAGGTACAGTGTCTGGTTTTCATTCCTGCCCATCCAAGATGCTTTCTAAATATTCAAGGAAATGAATTACATTCCAAGTTAGAAATCCTCTTTCTCACATCATATTAAGCCCTTACCTGTGGTCTCAGTGAGGCAAGCACATTTTTTGGGGAAAGTGTTTCACCCTCTGTCCCTTGTTTCCCCATTCCAGGAAAAAAAAAATGTAATTTATTAGGATAGTCTTGCAAATGATTCCCTGGCGATATTTTCAGATTCCATCAGCACTGTGCCAGGGCCATGGTGCACTTGCTGGGATGAGGGTGGGTGTGGAGAAGTGGAGTAAAGCCATTGTGCCCCCTGGAGCCAGCTGGTGGGGAATCATGAAAGTCATAACGAAAAGTCAGAACTTCATACATTAGAAAAGAAAGCATTGGGGAAAATAAGGCTTTTGAGGAAAGGTGTGGCAAGACACAATAATATCTAAGAAACGCTGGTGTGATACTGGGGATCTGGACGGATTGGATAAAGACAAGAAACAGAGTGGTTAGTTTGGTGTTGCAGGAGTGATGAAGGCAGCGGGATGGCAGAGGGGAGGGAAGTGCGTAGAAAGAAAAACTGTATGGAATAAAGTCATGGTAATGGGTTGAATGGAGGAGGGGTTTATAATAGAGCCACAGAGGAGCTCCAAGTTCCATTTCTGCATGACTAGGGGAATAGTGATGCCAGCGAACAATGGAATTTTGGTTGAGGCAGGGAGTAGGAATCAGCATGAGGGGAAGATGCTGACTCAGGATTCTAGAGGTGTTTGGTCTGTGTGGGTACATCCTGATGGTGCCTCGTCTTCAAACTTCCCTTCCACAGAAAGTCCAATACTCTCCCCATGGGCTTTTAGCTTCCTTCACACATATTCCCTTCCTCACTCCTTTTCTATCAATCAAATCCCCTGAGCTGATGTTTCCCTGGGAAAATGATAACAGAGACCACTTAGATTAGATAAGAGAAAGTTGAAGAAAGAGTGTGCTCTGTGACATTCCCCTATGGACAGCCACCACAGCGTAGACTTAGGTTCTCTCCCTGTCAGAGAAGCTGAGCCAGCCACAGGGATAGGGCAGCACAGCTGCCGGGTCCACCGTTCCTACTCAGCTGCCTCCTGAAAGCCAAGCAACCTCCGTCCTGGGAGCTGTCTCAGGAGCATGACTTCCTCTTATTACCCGTATCCTACTCCATGGTGAGTCATCACCAGCACAGCCATACCCAGTCATGGCCATGCAACAGCCTTCACTCAGATCTAAACACAGAGAAGAGGTGTGTTAACAACTGTGGCACATGGACCACATTTACCTTTGCGGATGCTGCCTCCTGCTTGCCTTAATTGTCCTGTCCATTTATTCTAATTCCAGGAGCTTTTGTTTGATGTCATAATAGTATCAAAATAAAATATTGGTAATAATAAAAATAACCACTTTTTATGGAGCACCTCCTTTGTGCTAGGAATGTGCTAAATGTTTTGCTTGTATGTTTTCCTTCAGTCTTCACAGCAACTTTGTGAGGGAGATAACAGCTATTATTTTCCCCATTTTATAGATGAGCAGTCAGAGTGATATGAAAGTACAGTGAACTTACTCAAAGTTACAAAATTAATAATTGTCAGAACCGAGAACTGAACCAAAACCTTAACCATTGAGCCTCTCAGTCACTAAGTTTCTGTTTTTTGGAAGTGTCTTCATAGTAAACATCTTCCTTCATCTAAACTCTTCTTTTTAAAGAGTTTATTTATTTTTCTTATCTTCTTTATTTTTCACTGCTTGGCCTTGTGAGGTGACAGTTTTGGGGGCTGGTATTCTCAGACTCTCCAACATTCAGTTTCATCATCTGAAGATCATGGCCTTTGCCACAATATTCTATCCATAATCAGCTGCCATCCACAGTGGATATGGTATCAAAATCAAGGACAGGACATTAATATATCTATTGTGACACTCTCAAGTGTGCACATGAGTGGCAATTTGCTTCTAAGATCACTTGATTGCAGTGATAGCAACTAAGAAGTTACCCCCTAAAGAACAATAAACCCAGTTCTGAGTGAACCGAAGTAAGCCTTGATGTCACAAGCAATGTTATGGACTTTGCCCAGAAGATGATGGAGAAACAGACCATGGGGGGCAGGCTTTGGGGTGTTCTGATTGCTCTTTCAAAGGAAGCAACACTTGAGAATTGGGGAGCTCCTTTGGGGAAGAGTAACTTCTAAGTTCAGTATACCACAAATTGGCTTTTGAAATAATTTAAGTGATAAGTAGATGGACCTCTTTCAATAGGTGTGTGTATATATATATATAGACTGAGTCTTGCCCTGTCACCATGCTGCAGTGCAGTGCCGTGATCTTGGCTCACTGCAACCTCCGCCTCCTGGGTTCAAGCAATTCTCCTGCCTCAGCCTCCCGAGTAGCTGGGACTACAGGCCCATGCCACCACGTCCAGCTAATTTTTGTATTTTTAGTAGAGACGGGGTTTCACCATATTGGCTAGGATGGTCTCAATCTCTTGACCTTCTGATACACCCACCTCAGCCTCCCAAAGTGCTGGGATTACAGGCGTGAGCCACCGCACCCGGCCCAATATTCTAATTTTTATATACATTTTTTCTTTTATAGATATATGACTCTAAGAAGACTAAAATACATAGCCTCTGTTTAATTATTAAATCAACTAAAATATATTAAACAATCAATAGCTGTATTGGTACTCGAGTATGTCAAAAACGAAGAAAACGCTCAGAAGACTGGAGTTTTACTTATATACGGGTAGAAACAGCTCAAAAGGAGAACCTTTGTCCTTTTTTCTTTTCTTCTTGGTATTTTCTACATGCCACCACATTTTTCTTCCCAATCTAACAGGTGTTGAAGGTAGTACTCTGAACACAGAGACTCTAGTAAGTTGTGTCAATTCAACGTACGTTTCCTCAAGAAAATTTACATAAGCTCTTGCTAAAACCAAGGTCTTAGTCAACTAGTACCATAATAATGCTTTGTTACAAACCACCCAAAACTCAATGGTTAGAGGAACAAGCATTTATTCTTATGTTTAAATGTCTCACTTGGAACAATGAGAAACAAAAGAGTGGGACAAGGTGTGTGGTCTCCCTCTTAGCAAACGTACCAGTTACTTATTACTCCATAATAAACAACCCCTTATTTGGTGCCTTAAAAAAAAATTATTGGCTCTCCATTCTATGGATTGGCAAATTAGGAACAGCTGAAGTATCCTCTGAGTTCATTTGCGTGTTTGGTTTCACATAGCAGGCCAGTTCAGGGCTACCTAGTCCAGGATGGTCTCACTCACATGGTTCTTGGTTGGCTGTGGCTGTTGGCCAAGGTGCCTCAGAGCTCTTCCCATGAGGCCCCTCTAGCAGGTTAGCTTGGGCTAGTTCCTGTGGCAACTAGATTCTAAGAGAGCAAGAGTAAATGCTGCAAGGCTCTGGAGACCTAGGCTTGGAAGTTATACAGTATCACTTCTGTCATATTCTGTTTGTCAATGCAAGTCCCAAGGCCGGTTGAGATTAAAATAAACTCCACCACTTGAGGGAAGGATTTGCAAATAATTTGCAGTCATGTTTAATATGCCACAGGAGGAAGACAGTTTTCCTGTGAAGCAACCTATCATGAAGAGATCACTGGACCAGGAGTTGGAAAACCCGGTTTTCAGTCCCTACATCAGTTTTAAAGTAGCTGGGTAATTTTTACCTAATTTTTTTCACCTCAATAAAATCTAGCACTGAAAACCTATGTTTCTAGGTTTCAAGTTTGGTCTCTATTTCTTTTGAGGGGGCTTTAAGGACCCAAATCTTCTAAAGTCTCTTAAGTTTAAGGTCAAAGCATTAGATCAATGTATGGTAACTGATTCTCTCCCCCTTAAAGATTACCATAGATGAAAGAAGGAACTATCTAAACCCACTAACCTAGTCCTGAAAGTGCTGGCCAAGGAGATGTCATATAGCAGTTACTGGGACTCTTCCTTAGGAGACACTTGGTATTTTTCCATTGCCTTGCATGATTTGTTGTTGCTGTTGTTTTGTTTGTCTTTTCTTCTATTCTGCTGCCTAGAAGGAAAATGTTTCCTTCTAGGAAGATAAGGATGACAGGAATGAGGTTCACACTTGAGGGAACTATTGAGCTCTTGAGCTAAAAGGAACCCAGCATCTGGGTGCTGTGAACGTCATGGAGAAAAGTGGCCATATCGGCTCTAGACTGCATCTCTACAAACTTTTACATGTGAGAAAATTACTGTTTTCTTTAGGCTACTGTAGTTTCTTTCTATTACTGAAGACTAACTTTAATCCTACTAATAGATAAATATTAATACCTAAGATAATTGAGGTTTGACAATGTCTACCTACTCATTGTTTTTAGACACAGATGACCATGTTGTGAACTGCACAACTTTAAGGATTGACAATTACATGAACTAAAATGTGAATGGTTTTCTACAGGGTTGAGCCACATGACAACCTTGTACTTAACAACTAGTATGATGTGGAAAGAGGAAGTTGATCTCATACTAATGTGTTGTTCCTATACTTCTTGTTGGTTCACTCAGAGACTTCAGTATTCTTGCTCAAGTTGTTCGACTTGTGTTTTTTCTTTTTTTTTTTTTTTTTTTTTTTTATACACAGGGTCTTGTTCTGTCACCCAGGCTGGAGTGCAGTGTTGCAATCTTGACTCACTGCAGCCTCAACCTCCCAGCTGTACAGGTTTGAATTGTACACTTTTTTTTGAGATGGGGTCTCACTCTGTCACTCAGGCTACAGTGCAATGGCATGATCACAGCTCACTGCATCCTCTCCTGGGCTCAAGCAATCCTTCAACTTCAGCCCGACCAAGCAGCTGAGACTACAGGTACACACCACCATACCTGGCTAAATTTTTGTTTACTTTGTAGAGATGAGGTCTCACTATGTTGCCCAGGCTGATCTTGAACTCCCAGGCTCAAGTGATCCACCTACCTCGGCTTCCCAAAGTGCTGAGATTACAGGTATAAGCCCCTGCACCTGGCCACTTTTAGAAGTCTATAACAGTTGGAATCCTCCCAAGAAAACAGAAACAGCTCTAGGTATTTCAGAGAAAACTTAATACATCTAACTAGATATGTAGGTAATAGAAAAATTGAGAAGTTAAATGGGTGGGGGAGGGAAAATGAGGCAGTCCTAAAATTATCAACAGAAGAAAACTACTACAAATCTTTAGTTTAGAGGAACAAAGAGGAGAAGGGGTGTTACCAGAGCCCAGGAGCTATACCACCTACAGAAGATGGACCATTCTGGACCTTCTCAGTAAGCTGGGATCTTAGAAGAAAGAACTATTTGGTGGGAGATGGAGCCACTGTGGACATATGCCTGCCCGTGGAGGTGCCCCCTGAAGCAGAGAGAGAAAAGGAGAAATATCCTGGTTTCATCTCTACTTCCTCCCTCTTCCTCTTGGCTGAATCTTTGCAGAAGTCAGGAAGAAAAAAGCCTTGGGAAACATAGTTCCTCGTGATACAGAGCAGAACAGAGGAAGCCAGGAAACTGACCTGCAAACAGGCAAGTGACTGGCACAGAGTATTTGTAGGAGTATTTGATTCATGCATAAAGGCACTGGGAACACGCAGTACTGCTTCATAGCCCAAGTTACCATGGGTGGCTCAAAGCTGAGCAGAAAACGCTTCTTTTATGCAGAACTCCTCAGTATCTTGAAAATTAGATGTTTTTATTATCTGGAAACAGCATCCTTGAAATAGACATTGCTATTCTTATGATAGTCTGCAACAGCAGTAATAAAGGTAAGCCTCCTTCAAATACCTCTGCAGATAACAAACATTAACTCAGAGAAATAAGAGAAAAAGAAAAAAACACAGTGGATGCTGCATAGTAACCACAGCTGAAGGTTTAGGGCTAAGCATAGTGGGGTATCTAATCCCAGCTTGGATCTTAGCTATTGTGTGTTCAGAAAGCTGACTGTATGATTTAATTCCTGTGAAAACCTAACCCTCAGGGAATTCCAAAAACACTTGAAGTGAACTTTTTGAGAGAGGCAAGAACAGGATATTTGGGTTGCTGATGTTCATACGACATCACATATATCCCCAGATGAATGGATCAGGCATCATTTGAATTCTATGAATATTTACTTCCAGAGTGTAATCTGTATTAATAAGCAAGCATGGTCTATGGTTTTTCTTTTTTAAAATGTCATTTTTATAGCCTGGGCAACATCTCTATGAAAAATTTAAAAAATTAGTCCTAGTTACTCAGAAGGCTGAGGCTGAGGTGGGAGGATGACTTGAGCACAAGAGTTCAAGGCTGTAGTGACTTTCAAGGCGGTGACTTTGTGACTTGCAGAATGAGATGACTTCCCCTGGGTTTTCATTTAGCCTCATATATCCCAGTCATGGAGCTGAAGAATTCAGAAACTCAGAAATGAAGTAGACGCAGACAATAAGAGCCCCAAGGGAAGCCTGCTCTCTCCAGCGAAAGAAGCAGGAAAAGGGCAGCCTACCAAGACAGAAAACTTGTAATAGTCACTCTACTCAAGCCAATTATCACAGAAAAAATGGTGGCTCCTCTACCATCCATGCCAGCAAAGGCTGATGGGAAAGCCTAGATTTCCACCTTTGAAAGGCATAGTGAGTCATGCAAACAACCTCCTACCACACACACACACACACACACACACACGCACACGCACGCACGTGGTATCAGAGAAGACCAAGTAAGGAGCCAGAAATTTCATCCTCACTGGACAATAAAGAGGCCCCCATCCCCTCCTGTCAGAGGTGCTGGTGGAGGGAGAGTCACAACTTTCACCATCAGTCAGTAGTAAGAAGAGCAAACCACCCCCCAGCCATAGTGTTATTGGAGGCCATGTGGGGAGTCACTCCTATCCCTCCAGACAGAAAGTCCTACCCCTTCACACAGAAAGGTATCGATAGACACCAAATGAGGGCTTGAAATCCTAACTTTGCCCAACAATAATGAAGAGTCCTAAACTGGGTTGTCAACAGAGGTCAATTGAGGAATCCCAAATTTCTACTCTCACCAAAAGGGTGCTCCCTACTGCCACCACTCTGCTGGAAAAGTGCCTGGAAAAGTCAGCTAAAATAGAAGGTTTAAATAAGATCTAGGTCCTCGTAACATAGTACAAAGATGCCCAGGTTTCCATGAAAATCACTCATTATACCAACAACCCTAGAGATCTGAAAGTGAAAGAAAAAGAAAAAGATAATCAATAGATATTAGCATAGAGGCCGGGCACGGTGGCTCACACCTGTAATCCCAGCACTTTGGGATGTCCAG